CATCCTGGAGGTGATCGCCAAGCACGGCGAGCCCGCCAGGTACCTGTGCAACAAGGACCCCTTCACGCTCAAGTCCTCGGTGTACCTGTCCCGGCTGTTCCCCAACTCCAAGTTCCTGCTGATGGTGCGGGACGGGCGCGCCTCGGTGCACTCCATGATCACGCGCAAGGTGACGATCGCCGGCTTCGACCTGAACAGCTACCGGGACTGCCTGACCAAGTGGAACAAGGCCATCGAGGTGATGTATTCCCAGTGCCTGGAGATCGGCCGCGCCCGCTGCCTGCCCGTCTACTACGAGCAGCTGGTGCTGCACCCCGAGCAGTCCATGCACAACATCATGAGGTTCCTGGACATCTCCTGGAGCGACACGGTGCTGCACCACGAGGAGCTCATCGGGAAGCCCGGTGGGGTGTCCCTTTCCAAGTGAGTCTCGGCTCTTTCCTCAGCTTTTCACTGCACAAAGCAGGCTAAAATGGGACAGAGCCGCTTTGCTGGTGTTTGTGTGTGGTTTTGGGGAGGAGGGACAGCACATTGTACTGCAGTGGGGTTTGTGTTCCTGAGTAAGAGATGGCTTTAATGCTCCCAATCTGTTGTACTCCGCAGAACAGCTTGTCAAGCAAGGATTTCGGGAGCAGGTGACTGTTTAATCTCTCTTGACACTGCAGAAATTATTTCAGTCTCTAATTTGCAAAGAATTGCTTGCTCTGAAACGTGAGCTCTTTAATGCCTCTTTCTCCACCCGTCCTCAGATGCCTCCTTGGTGTGATTAGTTGTGCTGCTAATGATGATGAACTGCAGTTCAGCTGCCAGGTCTGGGGTTGGTATTGCAGAATAAAAGCAATACCTGCTCAGTGGAGGCACACCCAGCACTCCCTCCTGCCCTCTCCGTGTGTAGGGGGTGTTTGTCTTCTCCCACTTTCTTTTCCTCTTTTAATGCTGTTTCTTTTCTAAATGGAGGCTTAAGTCAGGCTTAGCAAAATTTAATCAGCCGTGTAAGGGAATTATCCAGTCTGTCTCAGTTGCTGGTGCCCTGGTGGTGAGGGCACAGGAGCCACGGGGGGATGTGCAGCTGCTCCAGTTTTCCAGGATACCCTGGGAGAGCAGCCAGCTCTACTTCCCTGTTTGCTTAGAGTAAATTGGTCCAGGTTGCTTAGATCAGGTTTTGAATATTCATTGGGGTCACCTGGTGTATCTGTGTTACAGCCCACACGTCTTACATTGTTTTCCTCTGATAAGCAGAGGTGTCCTGGTGAAACCCCCTGTCCCAGTGCAGGAGAAATCCCTCCTGTGCAGGATAGATCCCAGATAGGAAAAGAGGAAGCAGCCTCAAGTTGTGTCAGAGGAGATTTAGGTTGGATAAAACAGCAAATTCCTTCCCTGAAAGGGTAGTTAAGCATTGGAACAGAACAGTGGTAGAGTCACCATCCCTGAAGAAATCTAAAAGCTGTGCGGATGTGGCAGCTGGGGACATGGGTCATTGGTGGCCCTAGCAGTGCTGGGGGAATGGCTGGACTCACTGATCTTAGAGGGTTTTTCCAGCCTTAATGATTCCATGATTCTAATCAGGAGAACCCAGCCTCTGGGGCTGTGGAACCCCCTGCCAGGGTCTGCTTCCCCAGAGCAGGGCTGTGAGGGACAGAAACTGTGGCTACCCCATCCAAGGAAGTGCTCAAGACCAGGTGGGACAGGATTTGGAGCAGTCTGGGATAGTGGAAGGTGTCCGTGCCCATGGTAGGGAGTGGGATGGGATGGGATGGGATGGGATGGGATGGGATGGGATGGGATGGGATTTAAGTCCTTGTCCAGTGGTTCTCTGTGGAGGTGGCAGCAAGCTGTGTGTGAGCCCAGCACATGCGTGAAATCCAACCATTTTATGTTTTGTTTTTTCCTTTGTTTTCCCCAGGATAGAGAGGTCAACAGACCAGGTGATCAAGCCGGTGAACATGGAGGCGTTGTCCAAGTGGATCGGGCACATCCCGGGGGATGTGCTGCAGGACATGGCCCACATTGCCCCCATGCTCGCCAGGCTCGGCTACGACCCCTACGCCAACCCCCCCAACTATGGCCAGCCCGACCCCCTGGTTGTCAACAACACGCACAGAGTGAGTGGCACTGCCACGGAGGGGACGGGCCAGGGGCTCACCCAGCCCTCCGGAGCTGGATCGGGATGGAGCAGGGGGGAAACAGACTCACACAGGGAAAACAGAATCACAGAATTCCAGAGTCATTCATGTTGGGAAAGGCCTCCCAGAGCCATCGAGTCCAGCCTGTGACCAATCCCCAGCAGAGCACTGAGTGCCACATGGAACACGTTCCTTGGACACCTCCAGGGATGGGGACTCCAAACTTCCCTGGGCAGCCCCTTCCAAGCCCTGACCACCCTTTCCATGAGGAAATTCCTCCTGGTGTTCACCCTGACCCTCCCCTGGCACAGTTTGATGCAGTTTCCTCTCCTCCTGTCCCTGTTCCCTGGGAGCAGAGCCTGACCCTCCCCAGGCTGTCCCCTCCTGTCAGGAGTTGTGCAGAGCCAGAAGGTCCCCCCTGAGCCTCCTTTTCTCCAGGCTGAGCCCCTTTCCAGCTCCCTCAGCTGCTCCTGGTACTCCAGCCCGTTCCCTGGCTCTGTTCCCTTCTCTGGACACGCTCCAGCCCCTCCATGTCTGTTTTGGAAAGAGGGGCCCAGAGCAGGACAGAGCACTTTTCCCTGGGAAGGCTGGGAATGGCTGACAGCAGTGACCCAGAGGGGATTCCACTGCCCCAGGGGTCACTCCAGGTTCTCTTTCCCACAGGTTTTAAAGGGGGATTATAAAACACCGGCCAATCTCAAAGGTCACCTGCAGGTAAGAGCTGGGTGTACCCTGAGGGTTTGGGTGTTTGGGACACGCCAGGGTACCTGGTCCCTGCTGCCTTCCCTGAGGAATGCTGGCTCAGAGCTGACCCTTCTCTTTTGGGGCTCCTCCAGGTGACTCAGAACACGTCATCTTCTCACTAAGAAAATTAATGATTTCCAGGTAAGACCCTGTTTACTTAATTTTGGGATTTAGGCAAATCCTGCTTTGCTCCAGGACCAGCACTTGGTTTGTGTGATTTCTGTGGATCAGCTGGGGTTCCAGGCACACTCCTGGTGCCAGGGATCCTTCGCAGTCGCCTCAGATCTTCCCACACAATGCTGCTGTGTGGGACCATTTGTAAGGAATTCTTTTCCTGAGCTCTGGGAACAGGATTAAAGCTGCAAAATGAAACTCAGCCGCCTGGGAGGGTTATTGCAGCCCGTCCCTGTGGGCAGCAGGGACACATGGAATGCATGGATGAGCTGAGCTGCTCCCCAGCTGCCTCCAAAGACGTGCCATGGACCTGAGGAAGGGGATAGAAAACAAAGGAAAACATGATGGAAAACAAAACTGCTGCCTTGGGCTGCTGCTCCAGAGACAACTGTTGATGTGTTGGATGTTCTTCGTCCATGCTAAAGCATAAAATACCATTCTTGGTACTAAAACTGATCCTTTAAGAGCAACTTTCTGTGTACAAGCAGATGGTTGGGCTAGAAAAAGATCAGAAGCACTGAGGGAAGATCAGGAATTGTATGTCCCCTTGTTCTGGGCTGAGAATTGGTTCCTTTCTGGCCAATTTTTGTGTTGTAGGGGCTTTAAATCCGCAGTTGGGCATTGCTGTGATAGCCTGAGGGGATCCTGTTCCTGAGGGGATCCGGCTCCTGAGGAGATCCTGCCCCTGAGGGGATCCTGCATGTGAGGAGATTCAGCTCCTTAGGGGATCCTGCTTCTGAAGGGATTCTGTTCCTTAGGGGATTGTCTTCCTGAGGGGATTCTTCCCCCGAGGGGATTCTGTTCCTGAGGAGATCCTTCCCTGAGGGAATCCTCTTCCTGAGGGGATCCTGCTTCTGAAGGGATCCTGCCCCTGAGAGGATCCTTCACCTGAGGGGATCCTCTTCCCTGAGGAGATCTTTCCCCAAGGGGATCCTGCTCCTAAGGGGATCCTGTTCCTAAGGGAATCCTGCCCCTGAGGGGATCCTCTTCCCTGAGGAGATCTTTCCTCAAGGGGATCCTGCTTCTGAAGGGATTCTGCCCCTGAAGGGGATCCTCTTCCCAAGGGGACCCTGCCCCTGAGGGGATTCTGTTCCTGAGGGGATCCTGCTTCTGAAGGGATCCTGCCCCTGAGGAGATCCTGTCCCTGAGAGGATCCTGTTCCTAAGGGGATCCTGCTCCCGAGGAGATCCTGCCCCTGAGGGGATCCTGTTCCTTAGGGGATCCTGCCCCTGAGGGGATCCCGCCTCTGAGGTTCTGTGTTTCGTCTCTTCCAGAACTTTGCCAACGGCCTGTTGTTGCCCGAGAAGGACGAATGTGCAGTGGGCCCGTGGAAATCTGTTCTCCAAGCATATTGCTTGCTCCTACTGTTGCCAAATGACTGCGCTCCAGGAATGTATTTGCATTTATTTGCAAAGGCCAAACGTGCTCCACGGCGGGAACGTCCCCGGCCCGTCCCGGCGCTCTGTGGGGAACGCAGCTGTGGAAAGCCGGGCTGAGGGGGACGGGAGGAGATTCCCTGTGCCGTGGCTGGAGGACTCCGTACATCGCGTTTGTGTCTCGTGACCTGTTCCCCGTTCCCGGTGTGGGGAACAGCCCTCCCATCCCCGCTGTTCCGTATTCCTGGGATCGGGAAGAGCCACCCTGGTCCTGCTGTTCCAAATGCCCAGGGTCAGGAACAGCCCCCCCTGGCCCTGCAGAGCCTTTGTGGTGCGTGTGCCCCCTCTACCCCTACCCCGACCCTGCAGAGGCTATTGCAGAGTTAATATATGCCTCCCCCCCACCCGGTGTCGGACACCATTAAAGTGTTGATTTGATATTTAATATTTTAATTATTCATCGCGCGGACTCCGCCCCCTCTACCCCTCCGGGCCACAGGGCGACGCTACCGGCGCGGCCGCGCCGCTCCTGGCGACTCTATGGCTTGGGGGCGGGGCTTGCGCTGCTGGAAACGGACCGGAAGTGAATGGGGCGCTTCCGGTGTGGCGGCGCGGTCGGGACCGGTGCTGGGATCCGTGAGCGGGCCCGGGGTCCTGGGTCAGGAGTTCCTCAGGGGGCTTGGGGTCCCTGAGCGGGCCGGGGCATCCCGGCCGTGCCACGATGTCGATGTCACACCTGTACGGCACGGACGGAGACGATGGCGTGGAGATGGAGAGCTTCGAGGTGTCGGACTGGGACCTGCAGAACGAATTCAACCCGCACCGGCAGCGACACCGGCAGACCAAGGAGGAGGCCACCTACGGCGTGTGGGCCGAGCGCGACTCGGACGAGGAGCGGCCCAGCTTCGGAGGGAAACGGTACGGCTGGGCTGGGACCCCCGGCCCGCTCAGGGACCCCAGGAACTGCCCCGGCTGCGGAGCTCCCCCGTTCCCTGGAGCTTCCCCCCGTTCCCTGGATATTATCCCCCCCGTTCCCTGGGCGTTTCCCGGCTGTGGACACCTGTGGTTGTGTTTGAGGGTGCCAGGAGGTGGGAAGAGATGAGAATCTTGACTCCATGTTTCAGAAGGCTGATTTATTATATTATGATATTATATTATATTAAAATTCTATACTAAAAACTATACTGAAAGCATAGAGAGAAAGGATCAGTCAGAAGGCTGGAAAGAAGAGGAGAGGAATGATAACAAAAGCTCATGACTCTCAGAGAGTCCAACGCAGCTGCATCTTTGATTGGTTATTAAGTAGAAACAACTCACAGGAACTAATCCAAGATGCACCTGTTGGTAAACAATGTCCAGACCACATTCCACAGCCATCAGATAGTTAATTGTTTACATTTCTTTTCTGAGGCTTCTCAGCTAGAATAGGAGGAAAATCCTAGCAAAGGATTTTTCATAAAATGTCATGGCTACAGACACCCCCCCGAGCAGCCCATCCCTGCCCTCGGGACCCCCTCACCTGCAGAGATTTTTCCCTGTGCTCACAGGGGGGAGGATGAGGATTGCCTGGCAAAAGCAGGGTTAAGCAGCTGGACAGCCTTTACTATCCCATTTTTGGGGGGTGTAAGGCACAGCAGCCCCCAGGAATGAGCAGAATTCCCTCTGGTTTTGCAGCTCCAGGGATTACTCGGCCCCCGTGAGCTTTGTGAGTGCTGGGCTGAGGAAGGCGGCCGCCGAGGAGCTCTCGGATGAGGACTCAGATGATGATGAGAAGCCTGTGAAGCAGGAGGAGATTCCCAAGGAGTTTGTGCCCAAGAAGTTAAAAACAGTGAGTTCTCCAGGAAATTTACTGTGCTCTGTTTTATGTTCATGAAACTCTGGCTGTGGTTGAGGGCAATGAGACTGTAATAGGGCACTAAAAAAGGGAGGAATATTAAACCAGAGACCCAGGTGTGTCAGTAAGGGAAGTGTTTGCTCTGGATTTTGTATGACTGATACAAATACATTGATAAAACATAAGTCAGGATAATAAATCATTGGTATAACTGTACATTGATATAATAACTGTGTGTCCTTGGGAATCAGTCCTTTCATTTTTCTCAATATTCCCTTTGGTCAATGGAGGTTTAAAGAACAGAATTCCTGTGGTTTCCTGCCTTTCAGAGACTTTATTTTTCTGCTTTCACAGAACAGACAAATCTGTTATGTTATAGATTAAAATTCAAACCCTTATTTTCAATTAAAACCAGAAAGAATCAGGAATCAGCTTCACCTAAATCTGGTGGTGGACCCTGAAAACTGTCAGGTTGTCAGCCAGAGTTTTTTTCAGGATTTTCCTTTCCCATCTGAGGAATTTCAGGAATCTCCACAGGAAGCACTAGCAAGGTTCCAGTGAGCTGGGCAGTGTGGGAAGAACCTTCTGAGGGGAATTTTGCACACCTTGGTTATTTGAAGCCTCAGGGCTGCAGGTTTTTGCATGTTTGTTTTTGACAGGGTGGAAATTTCAAGCCCAGCCAGAAAGGCTTCGTAGGGGGCTCCAAGTCCTTCGTGGATTTTGGCAGCTGGGAGAGACACACTAAAGGAATTGGGCAGAAGCTTCTCCAGAAGATGGGATATGTCCCTGGAAGGGGTCTGGGGAAGAATGCTCAAGGTACTGTCAGTGTGTTTGGTGGTTTATTATTATTAATTGGGAATTTGGGGGAGAGGTTGGATTCCTTAAAGAACTGCCAGCCACAGGTGGTTTGAACTTCCTTCTTGTTTTCCTGCCAGTGATCCAGGCCCTGTGGTGAGTGTCAGGGGTGTTCAGACTGACCTGTGGGCATTTACAAGAGAAAAAGAGCAAGAAGAAAGGCAGTAAATTCCAAAGAGGGTCATCCCAGGGGAAAGGAGATGCTGTGTTACGTGGCAGAATAAACAGGCAGTGAAATGTGGTTGGGAGCAAGGCTGTGCTTGGCAGTTTGGTGTGTGCTGGGATGAAGTGATTTCACAGGGAATTGGTGATGTTGGAAGTGCCACGGCGCTGGAGGCAGTGCCAGGGAGGGTGTTGGTGCTGAGCTGTAGCTCACAGGGAAAGCCTGGCTGTTCAGCTCTCTCCCAGCACACAAACTGCTCCTGCTGACCCCATTCCCATCCTGCCAGGAATCATCAATCCCATCGAGGCCAAGCAGAGGAAAGGCAAAGGTGCTGTGGGCGCTTATGGCTCCGAGAGGACCACGCAGTCCTTGCAGGACTTTCCTGTGGTGGACTCAGAAGAGGAAACTGAGGAGGTATTTCTGGGGTTCTTGCTGTTTCCCTGCTCTGCTGTGTGTACAAAATTCAGTTTTCTTAATTTCTGTGTCAGAGAATACTGTTTGGACTCATTTTAGATAAGAAGCCAAACACTGGGCACGTTGATTTTTTTTTTTTAGACAGATCTTCCTTGTCACTACATTGTTCTTTGTTGTTTCTGGCTCACTCTATTTCAGTAGCTTTGCTAGAATCCCTCCTTTGAGGGGTCCCCCACATAAATAGTCTCTGTCTTTTGTTTAAATTAAAAAAAAAGACCAGGAACATCCTGTTCATTTAATCCATAGGGTGGGTGACTGCCCCACGGCATCCAAGCTGGTTTGGCAAGAGCTTTTCTACTTCCCATTTATTTCCTGTACAAATTCCTCATTGACCTGATGGTTATTCTCCTGTAAAAAAGAGGCAGATTTGGGGTGTGACAAAGAGCAGCCACCTCAATTCTGCTGTTTTTGTCCAGGAATTTCAGAAGGAGCTCAGCCAGTGGCGGAAGGACCCGAATGGAGGCAAGAAAAAGCCCAAGTACAGCTACAAAACAGTGGAAGAGCTGAAAGCCAAGGGCAGGATCAGCAAGCAGCTTGCAGCCCCTCAGAAGGAGCTGTCCCAGGTCAAGGTGAGGTTGATAAGCCAAGAGGTGACCCCTGAGGAACTGTTTGGGCTCTTTGGTGTCACCAGCACATTTCAGGCACTGGTAACCTCAGTAAAGCCAGTCGTAGGAGCTGCCTGTGCAGCCTCATGGAGCTCATCCCTGAGCCATGTAATAGCTCTGGATGTGAGTGTGTGTAGAAGATTAATTGCAATTTAAGTTTAATTGTTTCACATTTGTCATAATAAACACTCACCCACTTCTGTAAGCACAGTTGTCCTTTTTGGGATCGTTTGAACAATCTTCTACCTCAAAGGGACAGTAAGGGATTTGTCTGCTGTGCACTCAATAAAATTATTAATCTGAAATTAAAGTATCTTTACAAAATTATAGAAGTTCTAAGTGTAGTAACTAATGGCAAGATCACTGCTTGTAGAATCATTCAGTGAAACTGGGATGAGATGAGGAGATTCTTCCAGTTCTGATTCCAGATTGTCTCTTATTTGTTCTGACTTCTTGTGTCTGGAGAAGGCCATTGTGGAGGCCATCCCCTTGTTCAAATACAGTATACATGAGCAGCTTCCTGGAGTAATTAAGGTCCTTGGAAATCTCCAGACTTCAATTTGGACTCAGGGCTTTTCTCCTTTTTTGAAGCTGAGAGTTTTTTGTTAGAGAATTTGTTTTGTGTGCTGGCAGGTGATCGACATGACGGGCCGGGAGCAGAAGGTTTATTACAGCTACAGCCAGATCAGCCACAAGCACAACATCCCAGATGACAGCCCCCAGCAGCCCCTGGGCAAGGACTCCAAGCCCCAGGGCTTTGCCCTGCCCGAGCTGGAGCACAACCTGCAGCTGCTCATCGACATCACGGAGCAGGAGATCATCCAGAGCGACCGGCAGCTGCAGTACGAGAGGGACATGGTGGTCAACCTCAGCCACGAGATCCAGAAGATGGCTGAGGTGCTGTCCCACGAGGAGAAGGCCATCAGCAACCTCAGCAAGGTGCTGGACATGGTGGAGGAGTGTGAGCGGCGGATGCAGCCGGGCTGTGAGAACCCTCTGACTCTGGATGAGTGTGCAAAGATTTTTGAGACCCTGCAGGACAAGTACTACGAGGAGTACAGGATGTCAGACAGGGTGGACCTGGCAGTGGCCATAGTTTATCCTCTCATGAAGGAATACTTCAAGAACTGGGATCCCCTCAAGGTGTGTGTTGGTTTGAGTTATCTGCAGTTCTCACTTGATGGCTCCAGTAATCTTTATTACTTTGTCCCAAGTGTGGTCTAGTGGGAGGTGACCCTGCCCATGGCAAGGGGTGGAATGAGATGAGCTTTAAGGTCTCTTCAAATCCAAACCAGTCTGGGATTCTAGGATTCTAAATTCCTGATCAGTCTGGAGAAAAAGAAAAGAGAGAAAATGAAACTCTGTACTGTCCCCACTCTCAGACATTTGCTGGGTAAAAATTTAGGAGTTTGTTAGGCTAAAACCAATCCCTTTTATGAGTGTTGGGATGAAAAATTTGGTGAAAAATGTCTAGCTGTTGTTTTTTAGCAAAAGCAGGAGAGGTTTATCTGTCAGGTATCAGAGATGCACAGTCTGTTCTCAGTGGCATTGAGGCTGGGATAGAGTGGCTCTCTCTGTACACCTCCAAAAGTTCAGACTGTCCTATTCTCTCCCTGGAGGTGTATTAATACTGTAAGGTGGGGTTTTTCTCTGGCAGGACTTTACTAAAAGTCATTTAAGAAATGATGGATGTAGCACTCGGTGCTCTGGGCTGGTGACAAGGTGGGGAGGGGTCACAGGTTGGGCTCAGTGGTCTGGGAGTTCTTTTCCAAATTGAGTGATTGTGGGATTCTGGAATTAGGACTGCAAGCTCCTGGCTTGCTGTGAGAGGAGGTGAAAAGGCTGGCTGTGCTCAGCACACCCTCAGCCTGCTCTGTGCAGATCCCAGCTGGAATTAATGGGAAAGGATATGGACCATTTGTGCCTTGTCATTCCCAGGACTGTACATATGGCACAGAGATCATAGCAAAGTGGAAGAACCTTCTGGAAAACGATCAGCTGTTATCCCACAGTGGGCAAGACCTGTCAACAGATGCTTTCCACAGGTAAAGAACAAATGATCTGTACTTTGTGCAGCATCTTCCTGTGCTGCTTCCTCAGGGATGGAAAAGAGCAGATACAAGGGAGCTTTTCCTGAGGATTCCCTTGTTGGGCCTGTTAAAATCCAGTTTGCAGCTATAGAAAAGAAGCAGCTTTAACTAACAGCTCCCATTTGGCTTATTTAGGCCCAGGCTGTAGCTTTGAGCTTCGCTTTGATTTATTTGGGGTTTCTTGCCAGACTGATGTGGGAGATCTGGATGCCATATGTCAGGAACATCGTGGCGCGGTGGCAGCCGAGGAACTGTGGATCCATGGTGGATTTCTTGGATAGCTGGGTGAACGTTGTCCCTGTGTGGATACTGGATAACATTCTGGATCAGCTCATCTTCCCCAAGCTGCAGAAGGAGGTGAGAGAAGAGGGCAGGGGAGAGCAAAGCCATGCTCTGAACCAGTGTTTGAATTCCAGCTGGAACTCCCAGACACACTCCCAGTATGCAGCCTCTGCCAATGGATTGCGGAGCCGGGGGTTGCATCAGAGCTCTTTGTGCTTCAAAAAAACGTGCTGCTGGTGGCTGGATTTATTTAATCTTTGCTGTTGTGCCCCAAGGTGGAGAGCTGGAATCCTCTGACGGACACGGTGCCGATCCACTCGTGGATCCACCCCTGGCTGCCGCTGATGCAGGCGCGCCTGGAGCCGCTGTACTCGCCCATCCGCAACAAGCTGGCCAACGCCCTGCAGAAGTGGCACCCCAGCGACTCCTCTGCCAAGCTCATCCTTCAGCCCTGGAAGGATGTGTTCACTCCTGGCTCCTGGGAGGCTTTCATGGTCAAGAACATCGTGCCTAAACTCGGTGAGACAGTAGACAGTGCTGGCAGTGGCACCTTCCCCCTTGCTAATGTTGGTGCCAGTGTTACATCAGAGATTGTTGTTGGTGAGGTTAGACCAAGTTTGCCTCTGATGTTCTGCTGCCAGTCCTGTGCAGAGGCAGAAAGACGAGAAGGAATTACTCTGGTTGTTCTCTAGGTTTTCTGTCTTATTTTTTATAAATCGTCCATCTCCAGCTGGTAGGAATATCTGAGAACTGTCAGGAAGGACCAGGCTGTAAGATGTCTCTCTGTTACTCTTGAATTCCTTGGTATGTTCTAATGTTTCACCACGAGTTTTGTAATGCAAAGAGGCTCGAAGGTTAAAAAATAGTGAAGTGTTTTGTTAAAAAATAGTCAAGTGCTGCAAATTGTAATAACTGGAAGTGGAAATGCACCATTTTGTGGCAAGATCAGCCAAAGATCCCCACTGTCCTTTAGGATAACAAAAAGGTGCTGCTCAAGTTCTGTGTATTGGTAGTGAAAGACATCAGGGCACTGATAAAACAGAGTGAGGCTCTTTTGTAACTGTCCTCTCCTTTCCCAGGAATGTGTCTGAATGAGCTCATCATCAACCCTCACCAGCAGCACATGGATGCTTTTTACTGGGTGATCGACTGGGAGGGGATGATTTCTGTCTCCAGCCTCGTTGGGCTGCTGGAGAAACACTTCTTCCCAAAGTGGCTGCAGGTGAGACAGTGAGGGCTGAGGAAAGAGTTTTGGTTAACTGGGGAGTGTTTTAGTGATTCCTGTCCAGGAATTGCTGAGCTGGGCTGGTTTCCACTCACAGCTCAGTAGTCATTGGAACAGTTCCTGCTTTTACTGGCAGTAATAAACCAAGTGGTAAATTATGCCAGGAGAGATTCAGGTTGGACATCAGGAGGAATTTCCTCATGGAAAGAAAGGCACTGGAGGAGGCTGCCCAGGGAAGTGGTGGAGTTCCCATTCCTGGAGGTGTCCAAGGAGTGCCTGGATGTGGCACTCAGTGCTCAGGGCTGGTTGATAATGGGGTGATTGGTCACACATTGGACTCAATACTCTTGGAGTCTTTTCCATGTTAAATGACTCTGGCATTCTGTGGCAGAGGCCTCTCCTGCACAGACATCCCTGAGCTGCTTTTGACCTGTCCCTTGCTCTGCAGGTGCTCTGCTCTTGGCTCAGTAACAGCCCCAACTACGAAGAGATCACCAAGTGGTACCTGGGCTGGAAGTCCATGTTCTCAGACCAGGTGCTGGCACATCCCTCCATCAAAGACAAGTTCAACGAAGCCCTTGACATCATGAACCGGGCCGTGTCCTCCAGCGTGGGTAGGTGGCTTGTGAGGGTGGCTCTGCTGCTCTGGGCTGGCAGCACTGGGAGGCTGACTGGGGCATGGCCCTGCTGGCACCATGGCAGGAACTCCCATGAGTAAAAGTCAGTGGGCTCTGTCTTGTTCTGTCCTTAAAGAACATGTCTGAGGTGCTGCTCAATAGTTCTGGACTGCACTGAAGCAGAAACAGATTTTGGTGGCTTCCTGAGCCATTGAACAACTGATCCTCTTCCAGCCTTGCCCTGTCAGTCAGACGTCATCCTTTAGGGATTGACTTCTAAAGCTGTCATTATTGGGTATTTTTTTCTTTATGGTGAGGTGAAGGGAACCAGCAGTTCCCTTCCACATGATTCTCCCTACTACCTAAAAGTGGTAATTGGGAATTCACTGGGAGTTACATTGAATAAAAGAGAAGGGTGTGCCTGAGGGAGCAGCACCGGAAATCCACCCTCTTTCCAAAACTGAGAACTCCCTTTCTGAGCCCAAACTTGAACACCACCCTCCAATTCCTGTCCTGGATGGAGCTGCTTCCCTCTGGCAGCAGCTCAGGACCGTGTTCTCCCCGTTCTCTCCTCAGGCGGGTACATGCAGCCGGGTGCCCGGGAGAACATCGCGTACCTGACGCACACGGAGCGGCGCAAGGACTTCCAGTACGAGGCCATGCAGGAGCGGCGCGAGGCCGAGAACATGGCCCAGCGCGGCATCGGCGCCGCCGCCGGCTCCGTGCCCATGAACTTCAAGGACCTCATCCAGACCAAGGCCGAGGAGCACAACATCGTCTTCATGCCCGTCATCGGGAAGAGGCACGAGGGCAAGCAGCTCTACACCTTCGGCAGGATCGTCATCTACATCGACAGGGGCGTGGTGTTCGTGCAAGGGGAGAAGACCTGGGTGCCCACCTCGCTGCAGAGCCTCATCGACATGGCCAAGTGAGGCCTCTGGGGAAGGGGAGACCACCTGGTGCCCACCTCGCTGCAGAGCCTCATTGAAATGGCCAAGTGAGGTCTCTGGGGAAGGGGAGACCCGCTGGTGCCCACCTCGCTGCAGAGCCTCATCGACATGGCCAAGTGAGGCCCTGCTGGGGACTGAGTCACCAGCCAGGAACAGCTTCTGGGTAACGCTTAGAATAAAGTTCCAGGTTTGTAAATAGTGACACTGGAGCTGGATGCCAGGATGGTTTTATTGGAAGAGCTGTTCAGGCAGTGGCAAGAGGATGGAGGGCCAGACTTCCCAACTCAGGAAGCCAGGCTAAGGGAGAACAAGCAGCGCTGACACTTGTAATTGCCACCTGGGACAGGTTTACCAGCAGGTTAGGAGGGATCACATTCTCTGCTCCAACAGCTCAGTGAGGGCTGACCTAGCTGAGTCCCCTGAGTCTAGTGACAGATGTCACAGCTTGTGCTGGCAGTGAGTTATTGTCCCCACAACATCCCTCACACAATGGGCTCCTCTTTGCTGCACACAGCCAGGACCTGTCCCAGCTCTGTCTGCTGTGGGGCTGCAGTGGTGAAGGAACACTAAGGCTTTTTTTTCCTGGAGGGAGCCAACCTGGTTGTTCTCAGGACTGATCAAGAGCTGATCTCAGCAGCAAAGATAGCTGGGAGCTTTTTCCAAGCGTGCACAGGGAACCAGACCCCAACACCTCCCTCTACAAACCCCTCTGATAATTTCCCCTTCCTGATGCTTTGCAGTGTGTGTAGGACATGCAAAGGCCTTAAATTGTTATGGAAGGGGAGGGAATCAAAGGGCAATCACTGCAGTGGGAATGGCTCCCAAGGCAGGTTTTGGTGGAATTAGTTTGCTGTAGTTCAGTGAGTATAAATCAAAGCTCAGCTTTACTTTTTTATTAAACAAAATACAAAAAATGTCCCATCACCTCAGCATTCAGGTGCTGCCAGTTTGGACAGAGCCTGATGCCACAGTTGCTCCTTGAGCTCTATCTTAGCTGCACAGAAGCTTCCATGGGAAGAGATGTGGATCCCAGCCCTGCCACCACAGGGATGGTCAGGACTTGGCAGTAGCTTCCTCCCCCTTCCTGATGATCTCCAGGTCCTCACAATCTTGGTACAGCGGCTCCTCCACGAAGTCCCAGACCTCAGGGGAGAGCTCCTGCAGTTTATCCAAGGGAAACCAGTGCACAGAGGTGTCATTGAAGGTGTCCAGGTAGCGGGGGTGACTGGGGAGTGCCACTTCCTCCACTCCTTTCAAGACCTAAAGATCATTTGGGGAAAAAGTTACAATGCAGCAGCCCCTTCCTGCAAAGCTGAGCCAGTGAGGATGACAATGCTGTTACATTACCCTCAGCCCCTGTGTGCAGGATGTTCTGCAGATGCTCAACAATCCTAAAGTGATTAGCTTTTATATTACAGTGTCTAGGAAAAAGGTTTTGAAAATAACCCCCTCTTCTTTCCCATGGCAGTTCATTTCCATTTTCATTAAAAGGTGTGTTGTCAACATGAAACTGTTAAACTGTTGCCGCATACCTTTGCTATGTAAGAATAATCTCTCTCCAAGATTCTGGACAGCAATCTGCAGTAACAGAATATGTCCACATTAGACATGACATTCCCGTGGATTTAGACAGGTTTTCTGCATGGGGGTGGGACAGAGGAGGGGGAGAGGGCTCATGACTGAAAACTTTAGGGCAACGAAAATGTGCAAAACAGGGTAATTCCTGACGGAGGCAATAAAAATAAAGTAGGGGATGGAAAAAAGGAAATCGAGGTGGGAGGCACTAGAGCCTGTCCAGGCTGTGCCCTGACCTCTCCTCGATTCCTCGGAAGCTGTTCCCGATGATGACCAGCTTGGAGAGCGCCGCTGGGCTCCAGTTGCTCCACAGCAGGTTGTTGTACAGGGCCTTCCCGCAGTGCACCATGTAGAACAGCGTGGCCACTCCCTGGATGCCGTGTTTCCCCTCCTGCCCGGGAACCACCGAGCCCGTCACGGCCGAGCCCTGTCCGCGGGCCCCCGCGGTCCGACCCGGGGGTCTCCTCACCTCATTCTCCGGGAGCAGGCACAGCCCCAGCGCTCGCAGCGCCGCCGCCTCCCGCGCCGAGAAGGCCGGGTCGAACACCGCACAGCGGGCGGGCGGCACCTGCGGGGACAGGGCGGCGTGAGCGGGGAGCGGCCCGCTGCTGCCCCCGCTGCTCCCCCCGGTGCCGGTGCTCACCCGCAGCTCGTCCAGCAGCAGCAGCAGGAAGGCGAGCTGGTAGCGGGCGGCGGGGCAGCGCCCGAACCGGCCCAGCCCGTAGCACACGCAGCGGGCGGGCGGCTCCGCGCCCAGCGGGGCCCGCACGGCTCCTGCGGGCGGCGGGGTCAGCGCGGCGGAGCCGGGGCTGGCTGTCCCCGCTGTCCCGCACCCCCCGCTCCCCGCACTCACCGGCGCTCGCCGCCCAGAAGCCGGAGCTCAGCAGATCGTCCCTGCGGGGAGAGCGCGGCGTTAGCGGGGCCCGGCGGGGAGAGAACACACACGGACCGGGGCCGGGCACTCACCGCGCCTCTCGCAGCCGCCGCAGCACCGCTTCGGTTCCGGGGCCGCCTTCCCCTTCCTCCTCATCATCATCCTCCTCCTCCTCGCCCCGGCCCCGCCGCCGCCGCCTCCGGGCGCGCCCCGCTCGCCACCCTCCCGCCGCCGCCGCCATGCGCGCGGTCACGTGCGCGGTCACGGGACCGGGGGCGCGCCCGGAACCGGCGGCGGGAGCGAGCGGGGCGATCCCGGAGCATCCCGGAACCGCGCGGAGCATCCCCGAGCCGCCGCAGCCTCCCGCAGCCATGTCCCGCCCCGCCGCGCCCGGCCCCGCGCCATGGTGAGCCCCTTCCCCGCGCCGAGCCCGGGAAACGCCTCCGGCCCTTCGCTGATTGCTGTCCCCGGTCGTGGGTGAGCTCTGGCAGCCCCCGGCGCTCAGCAGCTCGGTCCCGGGCCGTGGGTCCCTGCAGGGCCGCGGAGCGGATCCAGCCCCCCGCTCCCGGCCCGGCAGCAGCGCGGGTTCCTCGGCGCCACCTCTGAGGCAGCCTGTGCTCCAGAGCTGGGCTGCTCCTGCGGGAAAACTCCCGCACGAAGCTCGTTCCGAGCTTGTGCTGACTGACGGGAAAGGATGGAAAGTGTTACTGAATACATGCGTTCGAGAAATTATCGTTTCTCGCACAGAATTCGAGAAATTGTGAGCAGAATGATATCACATGGTCAGAGGGACCCTGCTGTCTCCTGCTCCTCGGGAGCTCTTGGGTGCAGGCAGCACCCGGGAGCTGCTTGGGATGCACATGGATAATAATTCTCGATAATTATAATAATTATTGTGCTCTCTTAATTATGATTATCCCGTCTGCTGAAGGTGCAATAGCTCACAAATCCACTTTCTTTCCAGTTCTCCTTCCAGGTGTCTGAGAGTTGGAGTTATAGAACCTGTTTTAAACTCACAGAAGTGGTCAAATTTAGTCATGAGGGACCTTTTTGGTGCTACTTTTGGGTGTAAAGTCGGTGTGATTGTGCAAAGAATCATGTCTCTCCATTTGCAATAACTTTTTGTTGCTCTTCTGAAGAAATAGAAAGGAGAGGGAGAAGGGTAACAGCCTTCAAATACACAATCATTTCTGCCAATGTTTTTTAGGTGGAATTACTTTTTCCTTTATGATGGCTCAAAAGTGAAGGAGGAGGGGGATCCTACAAGTGCTGGCATCTGTTATTTTTACCCTCCCCAGGTAATGTCTGCTGTATTACCTGTAAAGGGTTGCTGATGGTTCTGGATCGGGAGGGGTTTTGCTTCCAGGTGATTTGGATTACTTCGTAGTCACAAAAGTTTTAAGAAATTTTTTTGAGAAATCTCAATTATCAGTTAACTCCAGGTGGAGCAGGGCTGGGCTTTCAGGGCACAGCAGTGGGGTTAAACTCTGCTCCCTCCCTCAGGAAGGGGCCAGCACAGCCCAGCTCTGTCCTGGTGATGTCAATAAACACACACAAGGAATGACAGTTCCTCTCCATGAGCCCCAGGCCCTTGTGCTGCCTGGAAAAACAATCCAATTATTTTTCTCCCAGAAATTTGCCTGTTCTACTGCGTTTGATTTATAGAATCCTAGAGTTGTTAGGCTTGGAATAAAATCAAGTCCAGCCATGAGCCCAGCACCCTCTTCACCACTAAACCTTGTCCCCAAGTGCCACACCCACACATTTTCTGAACACTTGCAGGGATGGTGACTCCACCACTGCCCTGGGCAGCCTGTGCCAATTCCTGACAGCCCTTTCTGCAAATTGAGTTGAAATGATAATTACTTTTTATTTATACCTAAAAACAGCAGTGATTTTTTTTTTTTATTCCGAGTTCTTTTAATGGGAAGTTAAAGCGTTGTCTCCCTGGCAGACCATCCCGGAGCAGCAGGAGCTGCTGTGTGGGCAGATGGCCGGGGTTGTTCGCTGCCTCACCGAGATCTCCGGGGCCCCTCCCAGCCTCGTCCGCCTCAGGAAGCTCAAGTTTGCCGTGGTGGTGGATGGAGACTTTCTATGGGTGAGTGCAGGAGCTCCGGAGCAGTCACAGAGTGAAAACAGCCAGGGGCTGAAGGGTGGGATCAGACAGTGAGGGTTTATTTGTCAGGGTGTGGGCTGTGCCCAGGGATTGCTGGGGAGGGCCCTTGCAGTGCACAAACTTAATTTCATTCATAACTTAAATTCTGTTTTCTGAGGCCTGGCAGTCGCTTCAGCTTCCTGCAGGAACATTTCAAGTACCTCAATTCTGTGCCCACGCCCAAAGGGATTTCTTAAGATGCTCCTGGCTGAAAACAGAATCCCAAAATCCCAGACTGGTTTGGGATGGAAGGGACGTTAAAGCTCATCCAGTTCCACCCCCTGCCAGGGGCACCTTCCACTGTCCCAGTCCAACCTGGACATTTCCAGGAATGGGGCATAACAGGATTCCATGTGCTGCAGCTTGTAAGGACACAGCCACTGCTTGATAGTCTGATTGCTCTTTCCTTCCAGCCCTCCAGAGCTTTGTCAGTGTCCGCAGATATTTAGAATATAAAGAGTGGTGTGTGGCAGTTGTGACAAAAGTGCCCCAAACCATCCCCTGGGGACTGGGCTGAGGCCAGTCAGCCCAATTTAATAGCACTGCTGCTTCTGTTTCAGCAATTCAAAAACTAGATGGAGCATCACCACAATATAAATAATGAGTTAATTAGAATATTTTGAAGTACTTAGTTTCAGGAAAATGTTCTTAGCTATTAAAGCACCAAGTTAGGTCATCTAACGTGGGAAGGGAGCGTGTCTGAAGCGCTGCATTTGTGGTATTTATTTATCCTGTCTGTGCCAGGGCTTTTGTGTGGGTATGTTTGCATTTCCTTTTCCTGTGACTGTGATTCCAAGGGGTGTCTGCCTGCACAGAGCTGCCTGTCCTTGTGTGAAAGCGATGAGAGCTGTTCTCACTTGTCGTGCCCGAGTTCTGTCAGACAACCTTCTCCATCCCTGCTGTGTCTGCTGCAGGTTCTGGGCTGTGCTGTGGAGCTGCCTGACGTGAGCTGCCGGCGGCTCCTGGAGCAGCTCATCGGCCTCTTCACCTTCTACCACGGCCCCGTGCGTGGTGCATACACGGTAACCAGGGACTGGGGACATGGGGACAGGGTAATGAGGGACTGGGACATGGTAACAAGGGACTGGGGACATGGGGACATGGTAATGAGAGACTGGGACATGGTAACAAGGGACTGGGGACATGGGGACATGGTAATGAGAGACTGGGACATGGTAACAAGGGACTGGGGACATGGGGGCAGGGTGACAAGAGACTGGGACAAGGTAAGGAGGGACTGGGGATGTGGTGATTGGGGACATGGTAGCAAGAGACTGGGACATTGTAGCAAGGGACTGGGGACATGGGGACACTGTAACAAGAGACTGGGACATGGTAACAAGGGACTGGGGATGTGGGGACATGGTAACAAGAGACTGGGACATGGTAACAAGGGACTGGGGATGTGGGGACATGGTAACAAGAGACTGGGACATGGTAAGGAGGGACGGGGGACATGGAGACCCAGTAAGGAGAGATTGGGACATGACAGTGAGAGACCTGGTAATGAGGGGCTGGGGACAAAGTGACTTTTGGGGAGATTTAAACACTTCCCATGCTGTCCCAGCTCTGCAGCGTTCCCTTGTGTTGCCTTCTGCTGCCAAGGGTCACACATCCAAGAAGTGGGACCTGGAAAAGTGAGCAGGTCATCCCTGCCATCGCTCCAAGGTCCTGTGGGGCTCTGCTGAACCTTTCCCAGATGTTCACCCTAAGGAGGTTCCCCTCAGTATTGTCTCCCACCTTTTCCTGACCTTATCCTGGCAGGCCCTGTCCCACACGGATTGCATCTCCCGTCTTGAGTGCAGGGACACTTTGCAGTGACAGTGTTTTTGGGGGTTTTGGCACCCACAGGTGTTTTCCCAGGAGGAGCTGAGCAGGGAGTGGGACAGGTACATTGAACACATCCAAAAAAACACCAGTGACCTCCACAGGATTTTCAATTCTCTTTGGCATCTGGACAAAACCAAGGTAAGAGCCTGTGCTCTGCAGTGCCCCAGTGCCACTGTGTTTGTTTATTTGCTGCTTGGAGCTTTCCCAGGATTCTGTGGCCTCACTGCCCTGGTTCTCCCTGCCCAGGTGGATCCCCTGCTTTTGCTGAAGGCAGCTCTCATCCTGCAGACGTGCCAGCGCTCTCCCCATGTCCTGGCAGGCTGCATCCTCTACAAAGGCTTGTAAGTAACTAGGTGTTTGTTCCCTGGAGGGTTAAATCCACCCCTTTCCAGGGCTTGGATCCTGGAGTGCATCCAGGGAGCAGAGCAAGGGCTCAAAGGCTGATCTTGGTTGTTGGCAAAACCATCAGAGGTTCAGGCCAGGCAGTCCCTGGCTGTCTGTGGGTCAGACATTGGAATTGTGTTCATGGAATTGTGGGATCCTGCAATGGCTTGGATTGGAAGGGATCTTAAATCCCATCCTGTTCCAACCCCTGCCATGGGCAAGGACACCTTCCACTATCCCAGGTTGTGCCAAACCTCATCCAACCTGGTCTGGGATGCTTCCAGGGATTCAAGGGCAGCCACAGCTTCTCTGGGCATCCTGTGCCAAGGCCTCACCACCCTCATGGAAAAATTCCTTCCTAATATCCCATCTAACCCTGGCCTGTGGCAGTTTTGAATCCATTGCCTCCCTGTCCTGTCACTCCAGGCCCTTGTGAACAGTCTCTCCAAGGTTATCTGTGCTCGTCACCATGAGGGAGTTCAAGACTTGGCTTTTAGTAGAAATCTGCTGGTTTTGGTACTCAGCAGGATGTGAGCACTGAATTTCTGAGGCTTTTTAGGGGGAAGTCACCCAGGAAAAGGGAGGTGAGTGGAAGTTGTGCTTTCCCAGCAGCGTTCCCTCTGCAGGTGTGCAGTTCAGTGCAGGTGTGTCCGTGTGTCCCTGGGTTTGTCTGACCTGCTGGCCAGGACCACTGTCTGTACTGACAGGAGGTGTGCAGGGGGATGAGCCAGGATTCCCCACAAGAAATTCCAGCTTCCTTCAATCAAAGATGACTGAATGACTTCAAGGAAAGCCTCCAAGGTGGCCCTGAATGACAGGAGGTGGGGAATTCCGAGAATTCCTTGGCAGCAGTGCTCAAGTGCCATTTTTCTTTGGCATGAGCTGTTCCAGTGACACCTTTTACGGGCACTGGAAATGTGCCACAGGGAGAGCATCTGCCAGAGAGTGACCTCATAGCTGCAGGCAGGACACTGGAGTGAGTCACTGCAGCACCTGAGAGTGAAGGGACCCGGACATTTGACCTGAGGAGGGACTTGGGAGCCTTGTCCTGCACCAGGGTGTGTCACCTTGTGTCTCTGGTCTGTCTGGTGGAGACGTTTTGTCACCAGATGTCATCAGAGTTGTCTGAACTGATGATCTCTAAGTTCCCTCCCAAGCCAAACCGTTCTGTGTTTCTCTGACTTTGCTTTGTCCTTTCAGGATTGTGAGCACCCAGCTGCCACCTCCACTCACTGCCAAAGTCCTCCTGCAGGGCAGCGAGTCCCCAGGCCAGGTATGGTACTGAGCACATTCCCTGCAAGCAGATTCCTGTAAGGATGTGGTGTGGGAGCTCTTGTCACACAGATCTGGCATGTGTCACCATGGGGAAGGACAAATATTGGTGATGGTGCTTAAAGCTTTTATTGGTTATTATTTAAAAAGGTTCCAAGACTTCTGCACTAGGAATTAACTTTTTTTTTTTCAGTCTTTAGCTTACTGAATTCCTGAGTTCTCATGTATGTGGTGTTTTGACTTGCTTTTTACACAAGTTTTGCTATTTTCTGGGAAATCCATCAAATGAGTGTGTGACAAACAGCAGTTTTCATTTGCTTTAAAACTTGCCAAAAGTTAGTATGTGTGTAATCAAGATGTTCTGTAAAAAAGCCATCACTATGCAGATATGGAGGCAACCTTTGCTGTTCTTCTGCTTGAATGAAGGGAGTTTCTGTGCCCTGAGCAGGTGGTGATGATAAATCTGGGCTCTGTCCTGAATTTTAGGTGTATTTAGGTTCTTGGGAAGCTCCCCTTGGCTTTGAGAGCTCCCTAAGGACCAAAACCCTTCCCAGCACTGAACAATTCCAGCATTTGCTGGGAGGGTGGTGTGGGGTCTGCTGCAGCCTTGGGGGACTGGGAGGGTGACAGAGGTGTCCTGGTGTCCATGATCCATGCACAGAGCTGATTTTTGGCTTGTGTTGCAGAGTGAGCCTGGAGCTGAGGAGCTGCAAGAGCCTGGTGAGCATCCAGCTGCATCCTTTGGGCTGCCTTCCCTGCATGGGAGCATGAGCTGGTTCTCTGGGATTCACACCCAAGCCAAGCTGGGTGCTGGAGTAGCTCCAAAATATCCCAGAGGGTGTTGCTGCCACCAGCCAGCCTGTGCTGTCTGATCAGAACCAGCTCCTTCTGCTGGGTTTGCTCTTTTGGGTTTGATTCCAGTTCTGCAGATTCCTGCCTTAATTCCAGTTCCCCATGTGGCCACTTGGCCACTGCCAGGCCCTGACAGCAGATGGCTGGTGCTTGCAGTCCAAACCTCCAGCCATCCCCTCTCAGCATCAGTGTGGAGATGATCTGCCAGGATGGAAACACTGAGGAGACATTTAACTGTGTCAGGCATGAAGGGAATGAGCAGGATAGGAAAATGCTGGGAGGGTGGGAGCAGGCTGCCCAGCTCGGCTGGGATGCAGCATCATGGCAGGCCTGCAGCTCCTGCAGAAGCCTTTGGGTTGATGAGGTTTGGTTTGTGTTTTTAAGCTGGGACATGTTTGTTGAATCCTCCCCTGCTCTTGCAGAGCCCCTGCTGCCGCCGGGTGTCCGAGTCCTCCCGGTGTTCCTCACAGCTCAGGAGGTCTCTGCGCTCCGGGACTTCCCCGTGGAGTGGAAGGCCAGGTAGGAAACCATGGCACTGTGTCCCTGTTGCCATTGTCACTGTTTTCCCTGGAACTAACTCAGGCTCTGTCACTGCCTTTGGAGCAGCCTGAGGCCCCTCAGGCTGGGCAGAATTCCCGTGTCCATATCCCTGCTGTGAGCAGCCTGGAGCAGAGCTGCTTTCCCAGACCAGCTGTGATCTCTTGTCCCTCAGCTCACAGCATTGCTTTGTGGACAAGGCGGGGACATTCCCAGGAGCCTGCAGTGTAGGATTCCCAGGTTTTCACCTGTGTTAGACCTCAACCCATCCTTTTCCCAGGTCTCTTTGTAGCAGGGGGTGGATCAGCCATTGATCAGTGATCAGCCATTGATCAGTGTCAGGAGCCAGTGGGGTTAGCAGCTATGGGATAACTCCACACACATCCTGCTCAATGTTTCATCCACTTGTCACCTCCCACTAGGTCACCTATGTCCCCAGCAGGCCCCAGAGGAGAAGAGAGTGCTCCCTGCTCCCAGGCAGTTCCAGAATCAACAGGAGCTCATGAAATGAGCTTGGATGGAATCTCTGTGCAGAAGTCCCATGAGGACCCTTCAGCCATACCTGCCCCAGGAGATGCTGTGCAGTTGGGCAGCCCTGCAAGTCCTCTGATAGACTTTTCTGGAATGGGAGCCAGCACAAGGAATTCTCCAGCTGCAAACTTGAGTGGAGCAGGCAGTGAAAACTCAGAGCTCAGCAGGAAAACATCCTTCCCCTCAGAGAGCGACACACAGCAGCTCCCAAGCCCTTCCTCACTCCAGACTGAATGTTCTTGGACTACAGGTCCATACCTGGAAGGCTTTTCCTTTCCCAACCCTTACTCCTGGGAGCAGGAGAGCCAGGACAAGGCGGAATCCCTTGCAGATTCTGATGTTGGCCACTGTGCTTCCCAAAATTCCCTTTCAGTCAGCCACAGTCCAGCTGTTCCCTCTCCTGCCCGGGAGCTGAGCAGAAGAAAATCCAGTGAGCAGGACAAGCCATGGACTGTGAACCAGGAGCGTGTGTCTGGAGGGAGTGACAGCACAGCTGGTGACCATGGGTGGGGCTTGGATTGTCCAGGCCCTGCTGGACACACACAGCTCCTCAGCAGGAGGCAGCCACTGGTCCCAGAGCTTCAGCAGGCTCTGCCCAGTGTCCCTGCAGGGGACAGACCATGTCCCAGCAGCAGGGAAGGCAGCTGGGACAGGCTGGGTGGCAGAGAGGGTGAGCCAGCCCAGCTGAGCCTCTACGTTCACTGCATCCAGGGCTTGGTGCTGTCGCTGCTGGCTGAGGAGCAGCTGCGCCAGGACCGCAGCGCCGTGGAGGACGTGGTGAGTGGGAAAGCTCTGCCCCACTGCAGCTGCACTGGTGGGGAGCACAGGGCTCACAGCTGAGCAGGGAGTGTTGAATCGTGCTCCCCGTGCCTCCATCACCTGCTCCGAGCTGTGCCGGGCTCGGCAGCCGCGGCTGCGTGGGAGCTGTCGGAGCTGAGCGGAGCGGGGACAGCCGCGTCTCACAGGCGGCTCCCGGTGCTGCTGTTGTCTGGCACTGCCGGCACCGGAGCAGAGCGTGGGGGTGTGCCAGACACCCGCGGGCTGCCAGGGGCCTGTGCTGGAGCTGGGATTCGCTGGGGATCCCCGTCAGTTCGGTGCTTTTTGGGAAGGGAGGTTGGTTGTGTTAAAGGCCCAGCGTGCACGTCACCGCCTCTCCCTCGGGGAGCACCGCAGACGTGGCTGGCAGCAGGTCCCAGGGAGGTTCCCTTGGCTCTGGGAGCCTCCAGGCTGCTCCCTGGGGATCCCATGTGGGCACTGCACCCAGGTAACACCAGAGCAATCCCAAATCTCCCCGTGGTGGGATTTGTGTGCCCAGACTCCTCAGTGAGCAGAGCTAACGGGGCTGCAGGGGCAGGATGTGCTGGCCCCCCATCTTTCCTGGGAAGCATCAGCTGCAGAGCTGCTGCCTGGCCTCTGCCTCCCTACCAGGAGCTGAGTCAAAGCTGCAGAGCCCTGTTTGATATGCCAGTTGCCATAGGAACAACCTAATTTCCTTCCCCAGCCAGACTGGAAGGTGGAGGGAAGCTCAGACTAATGCAGAGCCTCAAGGTTGCTCCTTCCCCTCGGAGCTGTGGGACACCTGGGGCCCCGGGAGCTGGGGAATGTCTGCTCTGCACAGCAGGGCTGATGTGCCTGGCTTGGGATTGCTGCCAAATCAGCTGAGCCCAGAGGTGCAGCTGGGCCCCTTTGCACCAGACATGGCACTTTGTCCCCTTTCTCGTCTGGAACAGCAGCACGGGGGACACAGGCAGGTGGGAATTGTCACGCTGGAGAGCGGAATCCCTATTGCATAGGGATTGCACAGTTCATCTTCCCTGATGTCTTGCCCTGGCGCTGACAAGCTCTCATTCCATTCAGGTTCCTCTTTTCCCAAATATCTGCTTCCATCTCACGTACCCTTGTTTTGGATCTCACCAAAACTGCACTGTCATACAGCTTGGAATTCAGCTGTGGCTGGGCTCTTCTGCTGCACCCTCCTGTGGGTGCAGGTGTGTTATCCCTTGGGAGAGGTGCCCTGCACGTCCCATTGTCCCAGGAGGAGGGGCAATGTCTGAGGAGCTGCAGCTGGGCTCTGCTGCTGGTGGATTTGAGGCACAACCCCAGCTTGTCTGTCCCTTTGTTTATCTGTAGGTTAAAAATGACCCTCAGCTCTCAGGGATGTCAAAGCTTAGTTATAATTAATGTTTTTTTGGATGCTTTGAGGCCCCCAAATGACACCAAAGAAGGGTAAAATATGCTACTTGTGCAGCTGTGAACCTCTGGGAGGGCGGGTTCCATCCCAGACTTTCCCTATGGAGTGGGAGGCTCTTGGCCTCACCTCCTGCTTCTGTTTAGGTCTTATCCCTTCATTTCACTGCACAGAAAGGAAAATCTGTGCCGTGACAGGGGTCAAGGATAGGCCAGGCACTGCCGTCCTGCTGAAAAAAAAGCTTGATCCTCTCCCCAGCAGGGGAAAGCGCATTGGCAGGATGAGGATTATGGAGTTAATCTTCCCAGGAGTGGTGGAGGACCCCTGCCTGTGCCCTGCCTGTGCCCAGGGAGCCTCAGCATGATCAGGGCCTCTAGGCTACTGAAAATCCATCCAGGATATCAGCTTGGCATTCATTCAGTGCTTTGTTGTGTGTGTTTGTGCTGCCCGGTGTGAGCAAAGGAATGTCCCTTGCTGGGGTTGTAAATCATGTGAAATGAGCCCTGAAGAGTAATGGTTGATGGTAAATTAATGGGGCCTTGCATTTTCCTGTAATTAGTAGCATCAGGTGGCTTAATGGCTGATTTTCAGGTTGGAGGGCCCTTTTCTGAGTCGAGCAACCTCAGACTGGTTTGGGTTGGGAGGGACCTTAAAGCCCATCCCATTCCAACCCCTGCCATGGGCAGGGACAGCTCCCACTGGACCAGGTTTTCCAGAGCCCCATCACTGCCTTGGGAGCTCTGTGACTTGTCTGCTTCCCTCCATGCCAAAATTTCCCAGCCATTTTAGGTGGGAGCCTGGACAGCAGAGCGAGGAAGGGTCTGGTCCTTCTGTCACCTGAACTCCTTCCAGAACCTCCTTGAGGCACAGGTGAGGGTCTGAGCTTTTCCTTTCCCTCTTCCTGCAGTACCACAGCAGCCTGGCCTCCCTAAATGGCCTCGAGGTTCACCTGAGAGAGACCCTGCCCAAGGACTCCTCGGCCTCATCCAGGACCAACTACAGCTTCACACACTATGACTGTGTCCAGAACGTCCTCACGGGTGAGCCTTCTTCTTCTGGGCCTGCAGGAAGAAGCAATAAGGAGAATGGGGTTTATGGGAGCCTTTTCTCATGCCTCAGACACCATTTCTCAGCAGAGCTCCCACCACAGAGCCCAGCCCCAAAGCTCCTCCCTGTTGGGGGGGCTTTGTCTGCTGGGATTGAGGCTGTCCCCAGTCTGTTCTGCAGCTGTCCAGGGTGTGTGGTGAGCTCCAGAGCCTTTTCCTGCTCAGGGAACGGGGCCACACTGCAGGGTGGGTTTTTAACCCCCTCTCTCCTGTTGTGCAGCCAACTAGGGTGGGTTTTTAACCCCCTCTCTCCTGTTGTGCAGCCAACTTGCCCCACACCCCCGGGCCCCTGGACCGGCACTTCCTGAGGGCGGCCACACTCATCCACTCCGACTTCAGCCAGCTCCCCTCGGCCTCAGAGGTGATCATCAGGTAAGGGGTGCTCACAACCCTCCTGTCCCAGAAGGGCAGAACCCCTTTCCAAGGCTGGCTGGGTTTTGACCAGGTTGTCACCACGCCCAAGGACCAGTCACATTGCTTTATTCCCTAAGTTTGCTTTGATTTGTGGGCTTCTGGATGTTGAGAGGCTGCAGTGGCACCAGGAGGGTGGACTGAGGGCACAGCTGAGTGGTGCCATGGCTTGGATTAAGATGCAACACTGACACAGTTGCCAGTTCCTGGCACTGTAAGGTTCTAAGACACAGTTTTAAATTTAGCTGTTCCTAATAAATTTGTGTCTCGGCAGAGAGCCAAAGGCACCCAGAATTGGCAACCTTGATATTGTTTTCTTGCACGGTTTGTTGGGTTGGAAACACACTGTGATGTGCATGGCAAACTCAATTGTGATGCACCAGGCAGGATGGTCTTATCACAGCTAGAGCCCTTCCCAAAACCCAGAGCTTTTCCTGACATCCAGAGCCCTTTCTCAGGGCATGGCTGAAGTGGACACCCCTTTCCTCAGCTGAGCTGGGAGTGCACAGATTCCACCTACCTGGTCCTGCTTGTTTGTCCAAAACATGATGAAATAAATATGCTCCTGGGAATTACACAGTAACTCTGGCACCGCTTGCCAAGGGAATGTGAATCACACACGTCAGTGCTGGAGAATTCCTTGTTTAGCATGAGCTTCACTGGCTCCTTAAATCCAATCCTAAACTGGCTGGCTAAGCTGGCATGTTCCCTGTTACCCCGAAAAAAGAAACTCCATGTGTGAATCAGCCTGAGTAACAAGATGACTAAAACTGCTTTCTTTTATGGAGAGTTGTCACAGAAGGGTGTCAGCAAACATAGCAGTTGCTGCTTTCCTCCTTCGAGGAGGAATACAGGGTCCTTGGCTTTGCTCCCTGCCAGCCCTCCTGCAGGGAATACTCTGGGAGGGGGGATTCTTAGTCTTAATTAATGTTTTTAATCACAGCTTTGGTGGTGACTGAATTTGACTCTTGTCTGAGCTTCATCACACCTGTGAGCGAACACGTGGTTCCTGCTGCCAGGTGCTGTGCTGGGATTTGGCTGTGGCCAGCAGCAGTGGGAGAGGAGGAATGTCAGGCACGAGGAGTGTTCCAGGCTCATGGTGTGCTAGGCTGGGCTGGCAGCAAGGGAAATCTTTGGAGTGTGGCCACACACAGAATCCCAGAGTCATTAAGTTTGGAAAAGCCCTCCCAGACCATCGTGTCCAGCCTGTGACCAATCCCCACCTTGTCACCCAGTCCAGAGCACTGAGCTGGACTCGGTCACAGTTGGACTTGATGGTCTTGGAGGTCTTTCCCAAACTAAATGATTTTGTGATATCTCACTTTCCCTTTTAAGGATGCCAGGACCTTTAGAAGGAGGATCTGGTTCCCTGTGGCCTTCAGGGACTAAATGATTTTGTGATATCTCACTTTCCCTTTTAAGGATGCCAGGACCCTTTAGAAGGAGGATCTGGTTCTCTGTGGCCTTCAAGCGTTTGGTGCCTATTCAGCTCCATGCTGAGACATCTGAAAGTCCTTCCCAAAACTTGGGAGCCCAGTGCCCAGCTGTGAATCTTGCCCAAAGCTGTCAGTCTGACCCCTGCCTCTCCCTTCCCCTTCAGGAACGCCTCCACAGCCGTGTATGCCTGCCGGAATCCTGTCCAGGAGACCTACTTCCAGCAGCTGGGAGCTCCGCTCCGCAACTCAGGCGTCCCCAACCCGCACGACAGCGCCTTCAGCCTGCCCAGCAAGGCCAAGCAGAAGCTGCTGAAGCATGGGGTGAACCTGCTGTGAGCTGCTGTGCTCAGACAACGGCTCAGCCCTGAGCCGTTGTTCATCTGAATGAACAACAGCCCTGGCTGTTTATGCCCACAGAGGCATGAGGCCCTGCCTTGCCTCTGTGGAGTCTCCAGCCTGCCTGGCCCTGAGCAAGGGACACTCCTTGCCCTGTCCTGCAGCATGTTTTGGGCTGATGCAGGTGTCACTGGCAGCACTTACCAAAGACTGAGGACAGAACACAGCATCTCGAGGCTCTTGGTTTACATAGACTTCATGGGGACTCTCTTGGTGCTCTGCAGACACCCCACGTGCCTTGATCTGAGGTAAAACCTCACCTTGCTCTGAGTTACACAGCCCCTGGGCACTGCTGGCTTTCAGAGATGTCAGTTAGCCACTGTCTGTGCCTGCACTTGCCCTAGTCAGACTTTGGCTTTATTTCTGTCCCTTAATCCATGGGAATGATCCTTCCATGACGTTGTGCCTTACCTTGGTTAGCAGTGCCTGCCTGTTGTCACACGGGAGCAGAACAAGAGCTGCAGAGCTCACAATCCCCCTTTGGGTGCTCCCAGGTGGTTTTATGCCACAGGTGACTCGGAAGGGATGTCCCTGTCCCTCTACACCTCCCTGGTCAATGATGGTCCAGCCCAGCCCTGCCCTCCTTGTGCAGCCTCCCAGGAGCTGGGTGGTGGTGGTGGTGGTGTGAGTGTCCCTCAGCCTGTGCTCCCTCCTGCTGCAGGACCTCACTTCACTGCTCTGTTTGCCCACACTCTGCAGACCCCAGAGTTGCCTCTTAGCTGATGGGACCAAAGAAGTTTTGTATCCCCTCAGCAGCTGTCCCCTTTCTGCTCTGACAGTGTCCCCAGTCAGTGGTGGCTGGGGAGGCCCTTGGTGGTGGCTGCTTAGACTGGGGGATGGATAGCTGTGTTTGGCTGGGCTTGGAACCTGCTGCTGGTGCAGACACACCCCTCAGTGTGACTGGAAATAAAGGAGTCTCCAAGGCTCATCCCAGCACTGTGTCAGCAGCCAGAGTCACATTGTTGTCATGTTTGTGCTTCCTGGTGTGATGGGCTGGGCTGTGGGAGCAGTTCCCTGTTTACCTCCTCCAAGGGTGGTTCCTGCAGTGCTGGGGTTGAACAGGCAGAGCCTGTTGGTTCAATCAGTCCTGCAGAGCAGCTGCTTGGAAGCTTCCTGATGGATAGTTGTGTGACTGGTGTCACCAAGAGATGCTGAGCAGAGACATGAATGTGGGGAGGTGCTGAGCAGGCTCGTGCTAGAATCAGAGCTGGGCATGGGAAGGTCGCCACTGCCACAACTTCTGCTCCCACTCCAGCACAGACAGTTCCCAAGGTCACTCTGCCATTCAAGGCCTGCTCTGCAGACATTGCTGGGAAGTTCAGAGGACTCCAGAGGACAAGCCAGCTGCTTGCTCAGGGGTGGCTGGGCACAGATGCCACCTGGCTGGCAGCCCTGGCAGCTGAGGAGGTGTTTCAGCAGGAGCAGAGTCGTGTGGCACTGCTCCCATCCTGGGCATGAAAGGACTGTCAGGAGCCTGTTGGCAGCGTAGGAGTGAAAACTCCCTGGGAAGCCTGAGCTGGAGTCACCCTGGTGATCTCCTGTTTCAGTGGCATCCATGTGGAAGATGGCACAAGGTAAGGTGCTGCTTCCCTGGTGACTTCCCGGCACAAATCCACTGGGTGATGGACAAACTGCTCTGGTTCTGGAGGGAGTTCAGGGAATATCGTGAAGAAGAATATCAGGGAGGTTTTCCAGGGTGGGAGAAGGCAGGAGGGATGAGGGTTGTGTACTCTGGGATCCCTGCTCAGCTGAGCCAAGTGACTTCTCTGGGAGATGCTGCTCTGCCTGTCCCTTCTGTGCCCTCAGCAGATCTGGATTCCCTCTGTAATTCCCAGGAGAGGAAGCCTTGGAGCACCAGGAGCAGCTCCAGCCTGCTCTGCTCCTCAGGGAGATCCACTTGGATCCTGAAGATCCACTTGAAGCCTGAGGGCTTGGGAAGTGGTTGTGTGCTTTAGCAGGAAACACAGAGAAGTGGAAGGAAAAGCCTGAGAGGGACAGGAGGGAGATTTGGCACAGCAGCAAAGCACAAAGCGGATGGATGCTCCTGCCTGCTGCCATCAGGGATCCTGCGCTGCAATCTGCTGAGCCGTCTGCCAGCCAGGAACAGCTGGGCTGGCTCTGCTCCTTCAGCTGCTCGGGCTGAATCTGCCCACCCAGCCCATGCCTGCCCACCCAGCCCTGTGCTGGTCAGGAGGGAACAGCACACAGAAAGCTCCCAGCCCACAGGGTGATGGCTGTGCTGGAGAAGATGCTTAAAAATGGGGCATTTTGAGCATTAGGGGATGAGGAGCAGCTGGGCCTGTCTGAGTGCTGCCAGGGGGGCTCATGGGGAGCAATTCCTGCCCTGCCAAGCTGGCTTTGTGCTTAAGGGGGTGAGGCATTGGTTTGCAGGCAGTTGGGCGGGATTTGAGCAGCACCCTCTGCCCTGGAGCTGCTCCTGGGAAGCTGCTGCCTTTGATGAATCAGTGCAGGCAGCTGGAAGCAATTCCTGAAATGGTGTGTGGATGTTCTGGCAAGGCTGATGGCTCCTGTGGGGAGCTTCGGGCCTGCAGCTGCTCCTGGGGATGGCTGGGGACAGTCTCTGCTGCCCTGGGCCAGGCAGCAGGGCTGGAACCCACAGATGTCCCCCACCAGCAGGCTCTGGGAGATGCTCCCTGTGCTCCTTGGCAGCCTGGGCTCCACTGACGTCACAGAATCCCAGGATGGTTTGGGTTGGAAGGGACCTCAAATATCCATTTGCAAGTCCCTGCCATGGGCAAGGATTCACCAGGTTGCTCAGGGCCCCATCCAACCTGGCCAAATCCAGGCCTGGGAGGCTGTGACTGGTCAGGACAGATTTTCCATGGGCTGGGTGTTTTTGAGCACTAGCCACACTCACTGTATTCCTGGCAAACAAGCCTGTGCCTCCTCCCACCCTGCAGCTCCTGCTCCTTCCAGGCCACTTCTCCCCACCAGCAGCCAGATAAAGCAGGGCCCAACCCCTCGGTGTTTGCTTGACCCTGGACTTGTTAGAGCAGCAGGCAAAGCCCATTCTGTTTTCAGCACAACTGTTTATTGATAATCTTTGCTTATCCACTGTATGAATGTTACCAACCTTTGGACAGAGCCAGCCTGCTTCCCCAGGGCCTGTGTCCAGGTAGCCAATGCGTGTAGAAATCATGCACTTCAGGTAGTCTGTAACAAGACGGCTGTAAAAAATATCTCAGATGTATTTGAAATCTCTGCCTTCTCTTGCAATCGAACCACTGAAAAGTCTGTATAGAAGTTGTTGGGGGACAGGGCACAGAGGCAAAGGGTCCCCAGCCAGAGCTGTGAGCATCCACCACACACTGTGCTTTGGGGGGATGTTATAAACCAGCCCCCAGACCCCAAAGAGACCCTGGTGCTGGGGGACTTCAGGAAAAGCGTGGTGGTCCCTGGGTGGGCAGGACCTCAGGGTGGGGCCTCATTGTTCAGGCTGCAGAATTAACCCCCCTTGGGAAGCTGTCCTGTGGTGTCAGGTCCATGGGAGCTGCTGCTGTGTGTGCCTGCCCTGGCTTGAGGAAAGGAGAAGATGGAGCAGCAGAAGGAATGGTGACCTCCTTTCTTCCTACAGACAGACAAAACCCCCATTCTCTGTTTCCAAACAGCATCCCTGCCCCTGCAGGGCCTCCCAGCCGGGAGCTAGGAAAACTGAGGGTTGCAGATAGAGCAAGGAAGGGATTTGGGCAACTGCTAACGCCCTTAGTCAGACTGAAGAGCACAACTGTGTGTGCTGTTCCCTCAGCAGGGTGGAGGCTGGGGCTCCTGTCTTGCTGGGCTGGTGATGGACTCTGCTCCCTGCCTGGCTGACAAAAGGGGTTTCTGAGGGCAGGAGAGGTGGGGAGCCCCAGCTGGCACATGGAGAAGGAAGCAGGAGCCCCAGGAGGGTTCTTTGTGAGCAGAGCTGTGCCCTGCCCAGCCCATCAGACCCAGCCTGGGGGGAGCACAGTGCCCGTGGCAGCCCCCAGTGTCCATCTGTCCATCCATCCGGGACCACAGCCGGGCAGGGCAGGCTGGTTGGCTGTTATGGTGGCTGTGTGTGTGTGTTGTTCCTTTGATGACCACGAGAAAAATTTTACATTACATTCAAACGAGCACCCTTGGGTTTGTTACTCTACTTCTGAACACCGCAAAACACAGTAGCAACAGAACACGACGGAGCAGGGGGGCAGCGGGGCCGAGGCGCCGGCGCTTGGAAAAGAATCCCTGAAGCCAACGATGGAGGAAGGAGATGGGCGCGGATACACGTCACAGTTTCCATTTACAAGACCCCCGGCAGGGAGCACCGAGGCCATGTGCCGGGAGAGGCCCCGGCCGAGCTGCCCTGAACCCACCAGGCGGGGCAGCGCCGTCATCGTCCCGGCGCGAAGATGAAGTCGAGGGCTTGACGCTCGGCCGCGGCCACGTTGGGGTGCCACAGGTCCACCATGAACACCACGCGGGGACCTTCCTCCGGGGCACCTGGTGGGGGTGGAAGCACACAGTGAGGGTGGGAAGGCACCTCCCCAGTGCAACCCCAGTAAACAGCTGCTTACTGGGAACTCAGGGACATGGGGCAGGCTCTGGGTGCTTTGGGATTTGAGAATTCCTGAGGCAGGGCCTCCTTGCAGCTGCGTGCTGGGTCTGCGCAGGGAGTGGCTGCTGCGCCACTCCGGCCTTCCTGGCCCTGCATGGAGCTGTGCTTCCCAATCCCACAGCAGGTTTGATGTGGAAGCAACAGCTTTTGTTCTCCCACTCTCTCCGCACGCTCCCCTGTGTAGAACAGCTCTGCCTGATGCTTTTATGCTATGGGCGACTAATGCTGGGTAATCCGGGAGAGCTGGAGCGGAACAGCCTCCGTCAGCGGTGGAGGGAGGGACAATCCAACAATCCAGCGGGCATGAGGCTGCTCCCCTGCTGGCCTGTCAGCACCGAGCTGCAGCAGGGCCAGAGGAGGCCGGGGCTGAGCTGCATTAGGGCCAGAGGAGGCCGGGGCTGAGCTGCAGCAGAGCCAGAGGAGGCTGGGGCTGAGCTGCATTAGGGCCAGAGGAGGCCGGGGCTGAGATGCAGCAGAGCCAGAGGAGGCTGGGGCTGAGCTGCATTAGGGCCAGAGGAGGCCAAGGCCGAGCTGCATTAGGGCCAGAGGAGGCCGGGGCTGAGCTGCAGCAGAGCCAGAGGAGGCCGGGGCTGAGCTGCAGCAGAGCCAGAGGAGGCCGGGGCTGAGCTGCAGCAGGGCCAGAGGAGGCCAGAGCCAGAGGAGGCCAAGGCCGAGCTGCCTTAGGGCCAGAGGAGGCTGAGGCCGTGGCACCACAGCTGGAGCCACCCTGCAGAGCTCGGCAATGAAGGAAGCTGAGCTGCCATGAGGGGAGACAGCAGGCCCTGGGCTGGGCTGGCACTGCTGTGACAGCACCGTGAGCAAGTCGGGATGGGAGCAAGCCATGGGCTGTTGGGGGGCTCCAGAGGTGTGTCAGGAAAGGGGTGCCAGGATGCCCCAGCACCCTCAGGCAGAGGGAGATGTTCATGGGGAGCCCTGCCATGCCAGGGACAGGAATGCTCCCACTTGAGGCAGGCCAGGGCCCTGAGCGCCCAGGATGGACCTCAGCCCTGCTGGGGCAGCAGAAGGGACTGGGCATGGATGCCCCCCTGACTCATCCCCAGTCCCCAACACAAAGGGGACACCACGAGGCCCCACACACTGAACTCACCTTCGTGGAACGCAGTGTGCAGGAAGGAGTCGTCGAAGAGCAGGCACCGACCCTCAGCCCAGCACTGAGGCTCGCCCCCCACCACCAGTTCGCAGTTGCTGGGCGTCTTCAGACCTTCAGGCACAAAGAGACAGGACAGGGAGGGTCAGGCTGTGCCGAGTTCCCTGTGGTGGGGCAGCAGGGAGCAAACTGAGCTCTGTGTGAGCCCCATGCTGCTGCTGAGGGGCTGCTCCCCTGCAGGGAGTGACCAAGCCTGGAGCAGCTCAGCACCTGCCCCACTCCCTGTCTGCTCCCTCTTGCCTTTTCACTGTTCCCAGCAAGCTCAGCACTGCAGGCACTACTTTCATATCTGGAACAGCTTCCCAGTCCCCAGAGCCCATAGCCCTGAGGTGTGCACAGGGAGCCAGGCTCCCAGGATATTTTCCAACTTCAGGACCAAAGGCAGATCCTGCCTGCTCCTTCCTCCAGTCCTGCAGTGATGACCCTGTCCCAGGCAAGGCTGGGGGAGCAGAAATTGTACTGGGGCTGGAAAATGGGCTCAGTTGTGGCTCTGCCACAAGCTCCCCAGGGACCTGCCCCATGCCTCAGTCCCCATCACAGGTGCTGCCTCAGGGTGACCCATGGGGCTGCAAGGACAGAAATCTGGGGGGTCACAAAACACTCATGGGGAAGCAGCTCTGTGAGGGCCACATGAAGGACAATCTTAGAAATAAAATGGGTCTTTTCTTAAAATACCAGCACAAAGCAAGGCAGTTTGACAGGGGTTGATCCCATCACCTCCTGCAGCAGGACTGTCACCCCCCGCAGTGCTGGGGATGCTGGAGCTGCTGCAGAGCCATCCTGCCCCACAGATGAGGCCGTGGTGGAGAAAAGGGTCAGGGCTCACGTGGCTGCTGAACAGTAACGATGCAGCAAACGAGCAGGACGGATCCAAGAGCGATGCCAAACCCAGTGAGCGCAGCAGGGACTCCCAGCTGCCCGGCAAAGCTGGGACTACAAAGCTGCTGTTTCAAAGGCTGCAAAACCCAAAGCCATTTCCCTGCACAACAGCCTCAGCTGGAGATGCTGGAACAGGGAAGCTGAGCTGCTGGGGGATGCAAGGAGGGAGCAGTCTGCAGCCCTTCCATCCCACCTGCACCCTCAGGATGCTGCCCTGGCCCATGGAAGCTGCCTGTGCCTGGAGTAAATCCTTGGGAGTGACTCGCCCCACTGATGGCCGTGCTGGCTTTGCAGATCCAGCTGCCTGAAAAGGCAGGCTGTGTTTTAAACCCATCCATGTCCTGGGCACAGCAAGAGCTGTGTTCCCAGCACCAGGGTGGAGGTGCCAGTGTGCCCCCGGCCCAGTGCAGAGTCGCAGCAGAAGGACAAGTCAATGACCGGTGTCATTCCTCTGCCCAGGGCGTGTGCTCCAGGTGTGCTACCTGAGCCCACTCAGAAATCATTGGCTCCCCCCAGGAACCTCTCCCAGTCCCTCAGGAGGAGAACACATCCCCCAGTGCCCCAGAGAGAGGTGTCAGTGACAGAGGCTTCCTCCTGGCATCAGCAAGGGCAGCTCCTGGGATCAGCTCTGAAAACAATTCCCATTCCAAACAAATGGCCAGCACTGCCTGGGTGTGTTTACCCGAGCTGTTGGCTGAACAGGCGCGGTTGGTGTTTGCCAGCCGGGCCCGTGCGGTGCCTCCCCCGGCACGGTCGGTGCTGTGCCAGCCCAGCCATCTGTGCCGTGTGGGCTCTCCCCGTCCCTGCCCGCCGAGCAGGGAGCACTGTGCCACCAACCCAGCACCTGACCCACCACAGGGGACACCCCAGGGGACACCCTGCCCTCACTTGCAGCTTTGCAAACCCCAAAGCAGCATCTCTGCTCCCATCCCCCCATGTCCCATGCAGAGCACCCAGGAGATTGCAGGAAAGGGGAGCTGCCAGTGGGACAACACAGTCCTGGAGCAGCACCCCAGGCTTCCCCACACCCCGGGATGGGAAAGGGACCAGCCTGCAGAGAGGGGGATGTTCAGAGACTCCTATGTAAAATCATCCCTGTATCACACACCAGCAAGAGTCCACGGCCCTGGGTCAGCAGGAGGAGGAGGTGAAACCCTCCTGCTACTGATCTGGAGACCCTGGGGATATCAGGTACCCAGAGACCGAGCACCGCCAAAGCCCCCAAAACCTCCCTCAGGCCAAAGCAGAGCAGGTGTCTGAGCCCCAAGAGCACGGGGTGCCAGAGACTTTTTTGGGGCTCCTGCACCCCAGCCTGGCTGCCGCCCTCCACGCTCTCCCGACACACGAACCATGGCGCTGGACACTCACCGAGGTGGCAGCGGATGCGGATGTTGGTGGGCCCGTAGTGCTCGGCAATGACGGTGCCCGGGCTCAGCACAGAGATGCAGGCGTTCCCAAAGACATTGTTGCCAATGCAGGTACGGAGGCTCCCGAGCAAGCGGTACGTCCGTGGGCATCTCCGGCAGTTCCTGGGCACGCACATGCCCTGGTTCACCAGGTAGAAGGTGAACCACTCCCCGCTGGGCGTGCTGTTCATTTTCCATCCTTGCGGGAGGCTGCAGTTTGAGAACGCCTTGTACAGGGTCTCAAACTCACACAGGATGGTCTGGAAGTTGCGCTCCAACAACTCCACGTCGTGCTTTTGAGCGTCCCGGGAGAAGTAGGGCGTGGTGGGCAAGTCAGGCAGGAAGAAGACTTCTGGCTTCTGGATGGAGGGCCGGCTGTTGAGGTAGCGGCCCTGCTCGCGGATGCCCTTGTGGATCCTGCCCATGCCGGACCAGGAGTAGCGCTTGGCATACTCCTGCAGGTTGTGGTAGAGTTTCTGGTTGAGGCCGTCGTGGTGCGAGCAGCGCACGCACTCGGGCGACTGGCAGTACACGAACCCGTTCTGCACCCCGTTGGCCTCGGCACTCTGCATCAGCGCGTTCACCGTGGCGTAGGCGCGGGGCTGCTCCCGCCCCACGTGGTAGCAGTACCACACGAAGAGGACCAGCAGGCAGGCGACGGCCACCAGGGCCGTGGCGTCGCAGTCGCGGAAAGACTGGATGCCCGTGGCAATGAAATCCCGGAGTCCGTCCAGGGACCAGCTCCAGTCCATCAGCCACTCCAAAGACATGGTGGTGGTGCTGGGAGCGTGCAGCGGGGCCCGCCGGTCACTGCTCGTGGGGCTCAGGGGCACCCACACCATGCAGCCGGGCCGGGGCGCGGCGGGAAGGGGCTGCCATGGGCGAGCGGAGCAGCAGCTCTGCCCTGCACTCCCCGGAGCTCTGCATTGGCAGCGGTGCCTGGCAGCACCCCCGGGTCAGCAGCCACGTGGCTGGAGGGTCCCCGCCGGTGTTCCTGGGCCCATCATCCTGAAAGGCAGTGCTGGAGGGAGGTTCTGGGGAGAGAAACCCAGAGGTGTTAGGGAGAGGGCTGCCCCGTGGGGTCCCTGCTGGGGTCAGTGCACAGGATACAGCTGGAGCTGTGTGCTGGGAGTGTGTGGGGCACTGGCTCCTCAGGGAGGGGATGGTGGATAAGGAGCCCAACATCAGCCCGTGCTGAGTAAATCCCCCAGCGCTCTCAACAGCATCTTCCACAAATACCCAAATAAAAGACCCAGATCCAGGCCCCATCTCCCACCGCCCCAGTGACCATCTCCCTCCTGTTCGTCCTCCAGTTTCTCTCCTAAACTGCTGCCTTATCATGTCTGAAATCTGGCTGCTAAGTGAATATACACTGAGAGTACACACTTCACTGCCCTATCTGGCAGCACATCAGCTTATCCCCTCCATCTGACAGTTCTGAAGTGACTCTCCCTCCAGAGACTGAGCTGTTGGAGATCCCAAAGCTCAGCCAGCACCAGCACATGGCCACAGGGCCAGCACATGGCCATAGGAGGAGGTCAGGGTGGTGGCAACAGAGGCAGCTCAGGTTGGCTTGTTTGATTTCACCAGCTCACCAGTAAGAGCACTGACTCTAAGTAGCAAGATGGGTTTATGAGCCAGGAAAGCCATCCAAACCCTCCCCAGCCCTTCCTGCCAAGGTCCTGCAGACTCTCAATGTGCATTTCCTTATCAATGGTGATGGAGACGGGCTGCAGATGGGATCTGACCCTACAGCAGGGACGGGCTGCAGGGCTGGAGACCTGGGATTCAGCCAGTGTTACACCTCAGGGAGGAACATCCACACACCCTACCTCCCTCCACCCTACTTCCTTGTAGCATGCTGCCTGCATGCCCCATCCTGGGATCTGCAGTCCACGTGGCATGTCACAGCCTCCCGGGAATCTCAAGATAACTTTCCTCCATCTCCACGGCTGGCATCCCTCCAGACACTCCCGCTTCTCCCGCCCAGGCCTCCCTTCCCGAGGTGCAACCACAGAGTCGGTGCCAGGGATGTCCCCGAGGCCAGCACAACCCCCGTGCTACCTGCAGGACTGGAGTGTGCTAGGGAAGGAGCAGAGCCCTGGGTGATGTGCATTCAGGGTGGCTCCTGCCCTACAAAGGGAACTGCTCAGGCACAGCAGCCATGCTCCGTCAGAGCTGATAGCAATGCAAAGGGGAACAGAGCTGGGGGGGTCCGACAGCCTCGGGGTGCCCAGGTCAGAGTCACACCCTGCAAGGGCAGCACAGCACAAACACGGCCACAGTGCTGCCCCAGGGATGCAGGCAACACCTCAGATCACGGGGAAATCATCAGAGCAGTAAGAAATCCAAGCCCTCGTGCCCACACACTGCCTGCCTGACCCCAGAGAGCCAGGGAGCCTCGGGCTGCAGAGCCCTGGGGTTCTCTGGGCACAGTCTTCATGGGACCAGCTCAGGAGCTGCCTCCTATGCCGGCACAGCCACCCCACTGCAAACCTGACCAAACCCACCCCCACAGGGGCTGTGCCAGCGCTGGGTCAGGGCCCCCAACATCGGCACTGCTCCCAACACACACCAGGTAGCTGGGATGGCACAGGGCACCCCGTGGGTGCTGTTACCTCCCAGAGATGGCCCTGCACCCAGATGGGTCACATCCAGCACCCCTGGCCTGAGGTGCCAGAAAAGGCTCCTCAGTTAATGATAACGGCAGAGCCATTCCAGGGAGGGAAGAGCAATTCCACGTTGCACCGAAGTTGTGCAGGACGTGGAGGCGAGCACCGTGCCAGCAGCAGCCGTGTTACATAAGGAAGGCAGAGGCTTCGATGCAGCACAAAGTTGCATCTTGGTGACTCCGTGGTGGCCACGGCATCTCCTGGAGGCAGCGGGTTCAGCTCAGCCTAGCCAGGGTCCCAGGGCCACGGGCCTGCAGTGACGGGGACGTGTGGCGGGGATGTCCTCGGCTCCGCACGGCTGGTGTCGCCTTTGGGAGCAGCATGAGGAGCAGAAGCCTTGGGATGAGGCGGGATGCCCGCTGCCACTCCGGAACAGGAGCAGTGGGTGCTCCCTTCACCCTCTCCTGAGCATGCCACCCCGCCGGTGCCACCAGAGTAAGTGTCACCCGCGCGCTGCTCTCACCCAGAGTGACGGTGTCACCCGGCGTGGCGGCGTCAGCGGGTGTCACCGCTGTGGCCGCATCACCCGGCGTGGCAATGGCACGGCCGTGCCGGTGTCCCATCACCCGGCGCGCCGGTGGCACCTGCCGCCCGCCCCCGCCCCGCGCTCCCGCCCCGCGCTGCCGGGAGGGGCCCGGAGGGGCGGGGGAGCCGCGGGGTTGCGGCACTCGGGAGGGGTCCCGGCGGGAGGAGGCGGCGATGGTACCCGGGGGAGCGCGCATCCCAGCCGCGGGCACCCCGGGACGCGGGGACACGGTCCCGGGGACGCGGGGGCTGGGTGGCCCCAGGCGGCGCGGGAGGTGCGGGGGCACCGGGGGTGCAGCGGGACGCGCAGGGACAGTGGCTGCAAGGATTCAGGCACTGAGGGCTGCAGCAGTCTGGGGATGCTGGTCCCAGGGGTGGGAGCACGCAAGGATGCAGCCACCAAGGGAATGGGGACTGGCTCCAGGGACACAGGCTATTAGGGATGCAGCAGTCGGGATGTGCAGGGTTCTGGCTCCAGGGATGCAGGAACACACGCATTCAGGGAGCAGGCAGTACTGGCTCCGGGGATTCCGGCCCCTTGTGCCGCAGCCCTCGGGTTGCAGGGGTTGCTTGTCTCCAAGAATAAATGCATCTGGCGTGCAGGGGACAGGAGCTCCCAGCGAGGCAATGCCCAAGATGCAGGCAGCCAGGGAATGCCTCAGCGAGGATGTGAGGGTGTGCTGCAGCACCAGGGATGCGGGGAGACCGTTCCCAGCTTGGAGCGTCCCTTTACAACTCTTTACTGCTAGTGGAGAAACTGTCGTGAGTCCTCCTGCTTGCCTTTTTCCTCCCCAACCCATTTCCTGTTCCCCTAAACCAATGCTCTCCGTTCCGGGAGCCCCAGGGGATCCAGAGCTCCAGTCCTTCCTCCTCCATCGCCCAGGTGCCGGGTGAGTGGCTGAGCTGAGCTGCCCGCGGGCAGATCCCGGGTCCAGAGAGATCCTGAGTCCCGGCAAAGCCCTGGCAGTGCTGCCCTGCCCTGCCTTGCCCTGCCCTGCCCTGCCCTGCCCTGCCCTGCCCTGCCCTGTGGCAGTGCCACGTGGAGCCGTGTGGGACACGTGTCACCGCCACAGGGCACAAGAAAAGCCCTGCCTTGTTTTGCAGATTTTGCCATCCGGTGCCCACGCATCCTCCCCTGGCACTGCTCAGGGTTCTGGAAGTGGAAGCAGAGCTGTCCTGCACAGCCCCTTCAGGTGTGCTTGTGCTTCCTCTGAGCAGCTTCGTCCCTGACAGTCCTAAAATACACCTTGTTTTCCATCCTGGCACATTTTCTGCCTCCTGCTTGGTCCTGCGGCTTCCCCATGCCCCCACCAGCATATTCCCCAGCTCGGTGCAGGGCCCTGGCAGCATTGTGTGCTGCAGGGAGAAAGAAACGGGAGTTTTTTCCACCCTGCTCCTTCCCAGACCCTCCAGCCTCAGGCACAGCTCCTGCTCCCGGCAGACAGTGCATCCTTCTGTCGGCACTCCCGCGGCTCTGGGCTCTCCCCTCCTTTCTCCCCTGCCTCTGCCTTCTGAGCTCCTTGCTGCCTCTGGACCAGCCCCTGGTCCCCAGCTCCACCACTCATCTCTTTCCTGAAGACCAACCTGGCTTTCCTGCAGGCTCCAAAGAGCTGGAGAGGGAGTTTGGCTGAGGGTGTGGAGTGACAGGGCAAGGACTGGCTTGAAACTGAGGATAGGTTTAGATAGAATATAGAAAATAAATTCTTCCTGGGAGTGGTGAGACCATGGCACAGGCTGCCCAGGGAGCTGTGGCTGCTGCATCTCTGGAAGTGTCCAAGGCCAGGTTGGATGGGGCTTGGAGCAACCTGGGATGGTGGAAGGTGTCCCTGCTCATGGCAGGGGGTTGGAACAAGATGTGCTTTAAAGGTCCTTTCCAACCCAAACCAATGATTCCATGATTCTGTGATTCCTCAGCACAGGGAAGGCCCCTCCAGGAGCACTGTCCCAGCTCCAGCCTCAACATTCCAGGAAATCCCAGCCCTGGCAGAACACAAGCACAGTTTTGGCAACAGCTGAGGGGAGGACACTGGCAGTGTCTGCCCCAGGAGGACAGCTCAGGAAAAGGGAGAAGGAACCACTGGAGCCAGGAGGCTGCCCACAGACTGGGCTTCTGCCAGGGTGTCGCTGGCAGACCTGTGCCAAGTGCATCCCAGGGCTTTTCCCAGCCTTCCGAGCTGGGCAGGGATGCTGTGTCTGACACGGGCTGGGCAGGGATGCTGTGCCTGACCTGGAATGGGCAGGGATGCTGTGCCTGACCTGGGCTGTGCAGGGATGCTGTGCCTGACCTGGGCTGTGCAGGGATGCTGTTGCCTCAGCAGCCTCCAGTGCAGCTTGCAGGGAATCAAGGGGTCCCTGCTGCTCCATCCCTGACTCGGGGGTCCCTCAGCCGTGTGGCTGCCGTGGCACGGCCCCGCTCTGCCCCCGCCCGGCCCCAGGGAGGGGGAGGCCGCTGTGGCCGAGGCTGCTGGGCCCAGACAAAGCTCCATCCGCAGCACAACGCCTGAGGCCAGAGATTGGCTCCGGCTTTACGTCACCGAGGAGGAACGGCAGCATGAAGGGCTTTTTTTTTTTTTTTTTTTTTTTTTTTTTTTCTCCCTTCATTTTAATTCTCTTGCAATCTCTGTCCAAAAATAACCCAATCTCCCTCCCCCAGGAATGCTCTGCATCAGAGCCTTGGCTCCCTCGCCCCCTGTGCATTAGCCTGGCAGCTGCTGAGCAAAGCCATTATCGATGTCACAGCGTAACCTTGGTTAAAAGCGCGCCTGGGGAGGACAGCGCTGTTGCATTGTTTTGGGTGCGGAGGGGCAGGGACAGATGGGAGCCCCAGGTTTCCTCGGCCGGGCATTTCCCGGGGTGTGGGGTGGGGTGGGCTGAGCATCCCCCTCCCTCCCCGCTGCCAGGGACACTTGGGGCTGCTGGCATCAGGGAATGCTGTCCCAGCTGGGGCGTCCCGGTGGCGCTGCTCCTCGGCGAGGTGACAGTCACCGTGTCAGGCAGAGCCGTGCTCAGGGTCCCGTGGTCCCCCCGCAGGACCTTGCCCTGCCCACACCTGATGCAGGAGGAAAACCTCGCAGGGGCTCGTTTCTTCCCCCACCGGAGCAGCTCAGCCCAGAGAGGCTCCCAGAGAGCAGGGGGGACTTTTCCTACCCAGCCCCGGGATCCTCCCAGGCTGTGCCTGCCTGTGTGAGATGCAGCCCAGTGCATACCGGGGCTGGGTGAGGCAGCCCCCTTCTTGTCCCCACAATGGTCTCCCTGTAGTTTTGGGGAGCTGCCAGGTGACAGCCACAGGTTGTTGGGCAGCCGATGGGTGAGCAGGGCACAGGCAGGATGGGCCCTCTGCCCAGTGGGGTTGGGCTACCAGGGCTCCCCAAAACTTTCTGCATGTCCTTTGTGACATGGCCAAGGGTGTCCGGTGGGATCCCAGTGCCTCAGGGCAGCACCCAGACCCCCACCCACTCTGTGAGACATCACTGGGCTGGGCTGGCATGGGAAGGGGCAATGCTGAGTTCAGGGGGTACAGGGGGAGCCAGCACTGGCTCCTGTGGGGTGACACAGAGAGGGGAGGTGTCCCCAGGGCCGTGCCAGGTCACCTCATGTCTCAGCAGGGCTCAGATGCCTCCATCCCACGGGAGCAGGGGCCACTGTGGGGCTGCACCAGGGCAGGACCTGTCACTCAGAGCCAAGCCAGTGACTTTGGGCCACCATCCCACAGCAGGGCATGCAGTGTTATCCAGCCCTCACCCTGCCCTGCATGGCTGCAGCCTGTGGCCAGAGTGTCTGCAAACAGATTTCAGACATTTCAAAATACAGAACAATTGTTATCAAGGTTATATTGAATGCTAGAGCTTCCCACGGAACTACTTTATCATGTTCAAAAATATTTAATCCCAGCAATTTTCACATTGTTCTTATAAAAACAGACATGTATGAAGGGAAATGAAATGCTTCGTACATTTTTTGGCACTTTTTTTTTCTCTTTTTTTTTCCTTTTTTTTTTTTTTTTTTAACCATTACAAATTACAAACACACATTCGTTGTTTTGAAAGGAAAACCCCTAAATCCCAGCTGTACACCGCAGAGCTGCACCAACCACCCCCAGCTCACCCAGCCTCCCGCGCTTGCCATTCTTCTACAAGGACAAAAGAAGGACACCAGCAGCCAAGGACGTGGCCGTGCCTTCGCTGCCCTCCCCAGGGGCTGGCTGGGAGACAGCAGGGACAGTGTTGGCCCTTTGGGGTCCGTGTCCCCACCGCTGTGTGGCTCTGGCAGGGGTGATGTAGTGAAGGAGTGCAGGGATGGCGAGGGTGGGACTGAGGGCGATTTCTGCCAGTTCTGCTCCCCACAGAGCTCCTGTGCTGAAGCCTCCAGACATCCCAGCTGCCTCTCCTTCCCAACAGCTCCACCTTCATCCCCTGCCCAGCTGGGGGACCCAGCCAGGTGTGGATGCACAGCACAGCCTGCCAGGGCCCCTCCTGCAGCAGGAGCCAGGGAGCCCAGCCCATCCTGCTTACCCTGAGATGCTGCCAGGAGCAAAGAGCAACCCTCGGCCGTGCCAGGTCAGGGTGATCCTGGCAGGGTGACGGGAAGTGCTGCTGGAGAGGAACAACGGGCAGAGAGCAGAGGGGCACCAGCTGGGAGCTCTGCTTGCTCCAGGGTGGCTTCCAGGGCGGCTTCCAGGGCTCCCAGCTGTGCTGGGCCCGTGGCTGAGTGGCAATGGTTGGTGCTTCTCCGCAGAGCATCACCCCAGACTCCTGGCTCGCTGCCTCTCCACATCCAAAGCGAAGTGGGAAAAGAAAGCAGCACGTACCTCGTGTGTGCCAGGCTGTCCCTGAGCCCTGCAGCGAGGACAGTCCCTGTGCCAGTGCCCCCCGAGCCCCCCGGGGGAGGGTCCCACTGTGGGAGCCGGGAGCTGCGGGGTGGGACCCTGTGGGGGACCCTGCGCTAGCTCAGCTCCCAGCAATCAACCGCAGGCTCTTGCAATGGAGACATCTTTAATTTTTAACAACATCAGAACCGCAAAAATCCCCCTGCGTCTGTGTGGGCAGTGCCGAGGGACTCTCTGCCATGGAGGGGGACATTCTGCCATGGAGGGGGACACAGCAGTGCCCCCGTGCCCCCCTGGCCTCACCAGGACCCAGCTCTGCCCCGGCTCCAGCTGCTGCCTGTGCCCAGGGCTGGGCAGCACACCTATCGCAGTTTAAATAGAATAAATACAGTGAAGAAAACAGTAAAATCTTCAATAGAGAGGCAAAAGGAAAGACAACAGCAGGTCCGGGGGTCCAACCATACTCCACGTGGTCTCTGGATTAGTTACTGAGGAAGATCTATGAGAGCACATTAAGTTCACTGCTGGAGACTCTCTTACCGCTGTCCTTATATCGAAACCTCGTATTCTCGTGTTTCCTGCAAGCAAGGAAAAGCCAGTTGAGGGCAGCAGCTGCATTTCAGGATCATCTCCCCATTCTCAGGCAGCAAGAGAGATCCTGGGCGTTGTTTTGTTCCCAGGGGAGTGATGCCTTCGCAGCCAGGACCCCTCAGCCCCCTGTGCCTCCCAAGCCACACGGATGGACTCGTGTCCCGTTGCTCCCACAGGGCCTGGCTGGACTCATCCCATGGCTGCCCAACCAGCCAAGCCCCTCAGGAGTGTCCCTAGAGAGGACAGGCACAGCAGAACTCACCCCTGTCTCATAAATCGGGTTGTCAAACTCCGTTTCTACCGTGATCTGGCTGTAGGGGTGGGAGTACATGAGGGGCAGGCGGAGGCTGGAGTAGTACCGACACCTGCGGGGAGAGCCGCAGTCACTGGGCTGCACGGGCTGATTCCAGAACCACATCCCCCCAGCCCAGCTCCTCCCAGCGCCCCAGAGCACTCCCAGCACCATGCCCGGGGCTGTGGCTGCTGAGGGAGATGCTGAGCCAGCCCTGGCCGTGCCCCCGCTCTGTGGCAGCCCCACCTGGTGAGATAGATGTACGCTCCTCCCAGCAGCAGGGAGATGATCAGCACCGGGATGAAGATGGCCAAGGCCATATTTCCCCCCTCGAGCGACGTCTCTGCAGCAGCTTCTGCTACTGAAAGGACGAGATCTATTATGTTGGCATTTGCAGGCACCGGGTGATGCCCTCTCTGCCTCTCCCCCTCCTCCCAGGCTCCACCAGGGTCCTGCACATCCAGGAAACCCACGTCACTCACCTTCGAGAGCGTGTTCAAAGCTGTCTTGGTTCACTGGAAGAGAGATGGAGAGTTACCGGTCTGTAGCTGGGTTTGACTGGGTGCTGGCAGCTGTTTCCTGCTGGAAACCCCAACCCTGGGATCTCCTGCCCCGTTTGGTCCCAAACCACACTGTGAACTCCCAGTTTTTAATAAGCTCTTGGTGTCTGTAAGCATGTGGCCAGGACTGAGCAGGCTGGGCTGAGCAGAGCCCAGATCCAGAGAAGCTCCAGCTCTCAGCTGAGTTCAGCTCCCAGCTGGGGCTGCAGCCAGACCACGGTCCCTGGGCTGTCCCAGGCTGGGGACAGAGGTGTTTGCTGTCCCCTTGCCCCCCTCCCCTTCCCTGTTACCTTTGCAGATGGGCAGGGGGCCGCTCCAGTGGGATGGCTGGCCCAGGATGCATTTGATGGTCACCTCCCCCATCAATTCAAAGCCCTCATAGCACATGAAGGTCAGGGACTCTCCTGGCAGGTAGAGGCGCTTGTAAAGAATTTGGTATCCATTTTCTGGCAGTCCTGGGTTATCACAGGCCAGCGACTCCTCAGCTGAAAGGGAATGAAACACATCCAGGGTGAGCATGAGGGAGAGAAGGAGCCTGGGGGCAGTGAGGAAGCACCCAAGCTCTCACTCCCCTCTGCTTCCAGATAGCTCAAGGATCTATCTGCACCACCCCCACAACTGGGCAGGGTCCTGGCTGCAGGAAGATCACCCAGGACCCCCAGAGAGGAGCTGAACTGTAGGGGAGCAGGAGAGACCACCCAGACTTACAGACACAGTGCGGGAGCCGCGAGGTCCAGATGGGGGTGCCGGTCTCGCGGCTGTAGCAGGTGAGCAGGGAGCTGCCCTCCAGCACGAAGCCGGGGTTGCAGGTGTACTGGATGGTGGTGCCCACCAGCAGCACCGGGTCCGAGATGAGGCGGGTGGAGTGCTCCACCTCCCCCGGGTCCGTGCAGTACATTACTGGGGAGAGAGGATGGCTGAGGGAAGCCCCTTGGAGCAGGAGCCCCTGGAGCTGGGAGCACCTTGGAGCTGGGAGCACCTTGGAGCTAGGAAAGCCTTGGAATTGGGGCCCCTTGGAGCTGGGAGCCCATCAGATCTGGGAGCCCCTTGGAGCTGGGGCCCCTTGGACCTTGGAGCACCTTGGAGCTGGGGCCCCTTGGAGCTTGGAGCACCTTGGAGCTGGGGCCCCTTGGAGCTTGGAGCCCCTGGGAGCAGGACCAGTGCTGTTACAGGGTGTGGGACAGGGACAGAAGCACCTTCCTGTGGGGCACTTACTCTTTTCACAGAAGGGGGGGTCGCTGCTCCAGCTGAGGTCCCACTGGCAGGTGAGGGTGTCACTGCCCACAATGTCATAGCCCGGGTCACACTGGTAGGTGATCTTGGCCCCTCTCACCAGCTCTGTGTGTGACGTGGTCTTCCAGCCGTTCTGGATCTCGGGCAGGTCAGAGCAGGAGTCGTTGCGGGACACCTCTGCAGCCCAGAGGGATCCTGGCTGTCACCCACCGAGCAGGACCCCTGGCACAGCCCTCCCCAGAGCCACCCCAGCTGGACACACGGCTCTTCCCAAAGGCCTCCCCTCCCCACAGCTCCACAAATGGCACAGCTGGTGTGCAGGCAGCGTCCCCTGGGCACAGGGAAGGGCAGCAATGGGGGACAGGGGCTCTTTGAAGCCTCCCCAGCTGTGACCCTACAGGCAGAGAGGGCTGGGCTGGTGAAAATGGGGCAGTGTCTGTGCTGGGGTCAGGATAACCTCGGAGCACCAGGCTCAGCTCCAGCTGTGGGTGCAGGAGAGATGCCAGCTGGTTTGCTCACAGGAGGATTTGTTCCCTGCTTCCCCCAGGCTGGTTTGCTCAGGTGAGGGGCTATGCCCTCCCTGCAGAGCAGTGAGGAGGGCCCTGCAGCCTCCCAGGTGCTCTGCATTGCAGCTTGCTCTGTTTGTCGTAACCAGGGCTGTCAGCAGCGCAAGGAAAACATGCCTGGAAGGAGCCTGGCACGGAAAGCAGGGTGGGGAAGAGGCAGCCATGGGGATGGAATGCCCCTCACAGTCCTTGTCCCTGCCATGGGCACCCACAGCCCCAGCCTGGCAGGCAGAGCTGCCCCGAAGGACAATGGAACAGATGTCTCCAGGAGTGCTCTGGAGCACAGAGATGGGGACATCCATCTCAGGAGCCCTCCCAGGGACTGGCTTGAGTGACCACCCCTGCCTGACAGGGTGTCTGTGAGGATCCTGCATCCCTGTTTCCAGCAATTTCTTTCCCTCTGGGCCAGAGCAGGGCTAACAGGGACCAAACCTGCCTTGCTGCCAGCCTGAAGGAGGGGACACATACAGGGACACCCCAGAAGTGACTGACCCAGAGACCTGCAGCTGGGCTGGGGGTCCTGCAGGAGGTTCAGGGTGGGATGAGAAGGGGGTGCTGGTGCCACAGTGGCTCTCCCTGCTTCCAGACCCTGCACCTGGACAGTCTGGGCTGGCTGTGTGTCACACCCTCACACCAGCACCCTGCTCTTGTACCTATGTAGTTCATGATGAATCCTTGTCCCTTCCCAAAGATGAGCCCAGCAGGGTCTGAGTGGAACTGGATGGTGAGGTCAGGGCTGGAGGAGTAGAGCTTCTGGGGGCCGCTGCTGCCCACGTACTGCCCCAGGATGCGGGAGGAGAGCTCGTCCCCGTCGTAGATGGTGAGGATGTCGCTGTTGGTGATGTTCAGGCTGAGAGGAGAGTTTGGTTAGAGAACAGACTGTGCCTGGAGCCCGGGCAAGCCACAGCAGTGCAGGGCTCAAGGGACAGCCAGGTCCTCCTGGGTCACCTCCCTCCGGGTCACCTCCCTCCGGGGGGTTCGAGGCCGGTCTCCCGGGTCCCCGCTCTTGCAAGTGCCGGTTCACAAGAGCCGCGCTTGTCCCCGCGGCCACCAGAGCGCAGTGGCGGCCCGCGGATGGCAGGGACGGCCGGGGACACCGGGCAGGGATGGCTGCAGCCTCTGTCCACCCCGGGAATGCGGCTGCCCTGGAGCCGAAGGGGACGGGGGGGCTCGCAGCTCTCCCCCCTGTCCGAGGCCAAGGGCAGGGGATGGATGCACACGCCAGGGGACACAGCTCTGGTGTCGGGGGCGTTCTCTGGGTGCCGGGGCTGGCAGTGTGGGTGACCGATCACACCGACCCCGAGGGTGGGCAGCGACACCCCTTCCCTGCTCGCTGTTCTGCCGTGTCCACGCCCCAGCAAGGCTCCCCAGGGCTGGGAGCACAGCCGGCACCGGGAGGGACTGGGGCAGGGACAAACCTCTTCCTTCCCCGGGAGAGGGGAGCACCAGGATGCTCCCAGCCATACAGGAGATGCCTGAGCTGATCCCCAAATGTTTTATTAGGAATGTTCTTGGAGGGAGCCCAGCTAATCCCCGTGGCAAGCTGACATTTGTAGTAAATCTCTGCTTTCTGTCAAACACGATTTTCTCAGTGACATTTATGCCTGATGACTTCAAATCACTTGGCCTCCAGTTCTGTTCAGCCCCAGCACCCACAGAGCTGGGAGAGGTGTGCTGGGAGCTTCAACTTGGGATTTTATGGGGAGCTTTTAAAATCTTTATGACTCTAAGCCTCTTCTTGAAACACGTCCTCCTCTTGAAAACCCAAAATAGCATCAAAGGAGGCTCCCACTGCAGCAGCAGAATTTCCATGCCAAGAACTCTCAGCCTGGCATTGGATCCCACTCCCCTCTGACCCCAGCACATTCAGCCTGGGCTTGCTGAGTGGCTCTGCTCCCTTAGTGCCTGTATTTCACATTGAGCCCAGGATTGAGCTGTTTCCATCCCATGGATGCCTCCAGGCTCTCCTAACCCCACATGACCCAGCTCCTGACGTGCTGGGTGTCACCCCAGAAGCACATGGCCATGTGCTGCTGTGGCACTGCTCCCTGTGGAGAATTCCAAAGCTGTTGGAGCATCAATTCACTGCTGCTATGGATCCTGTAATGGTGCTTTGAACTCAGGGAGCACCACTCAGTCCTGCCCAAGGTGCCAAGTGCATCAAAGGGGATTATGGAAGCTCTGAGGGGAAGAACAGGGCATAGGAAGACTCTTCTCTGTTAGGGAGGTGAGGCCCTGGCACAGGTTGCCCAGAGAAGCTGTGGCTGCCCCATCATTGGAAATGTCCAAGGCCAGGCTGGAAGGGACTTGGAGGAACCTGGAATAGTGGAAGGTGTCCCTGCCCATGGGAAATCAGCTTTAAGTCCCTCACACCCAAACTGTTCTGGGATTCTGTGATTCCACGGTGGAGGCAAGGGGAGCAGGATACTGCAGCAAAACGAGACGAGCACTTCTGGGGCAGAGACAGACACTGAGCTCCTGGGCTACTCACAGCTGGATGTCCAGGAAGAGCCGCTTCTCCTCGCCCACGTGGATCCTCCAGATGCAATCCTCCCCCTCCGTGTAGGGCTCCGGCCAGTTGGGGGACAGGATCACCCCGGCCACAGCACTCAGCTCCCCTCCACACGTGGCTGTGGGGGCAAGGGATAGGCAGGGCTCAGTGGGGACCCAGGGCTGTCACCCCACACCCCGCAGTGCCCACGGGCAGGGCTGACCTCGGCACAGCGGCTCCGTGTCGTTCCAGTAGGGGTCCCGCATGTTGATGCACTCGATGACAGCAGGGCCCTGCTCCAGGGAGTGCCCGGGGTCACAGGTGAACTCCACGGTGGTGCCCAGGTTGTAGGTGGGGTCAGAAGTGGTGAAGTTCCCGTTCTGGATGTAGGGCTCGTAGCAGTGGCCCCGCTCAAAGGCTGGAAGAGATCCCTGTTAGCTGTAGGGACACGGAGCTTCTCCCTTCTCGCTGAGCTTCCCCAGGCCCTGCTGCTGTCCCCATGAGAACCTGACCCCTGCATCCCCACTGCGTGGATGGCCTCTTCCAGGGAGTGTTTTACAGGATTAACAACAACTTATCCGTTCTGAGCCACACAGGCCTCACCAAACCCCACTGCCGTGGTGGTTCAGCACTAGGGATGTGCTCAGGGCACTGCCAGGCACTTGTGTTTCCTGTGGATGCCATGGGACAGAGAGAGGGACACGGCAAGTGTCTCTCACAGCGGCTTGTGAGAATTTTTAGGGAGCTGTAAGGATGTGATAACTTGTTCAGTATAAACAATCTGCAGGTGGCGTTTTTCTACTTCGCCTTTCCGTTCTTCTCAAGGACAGAGTGTGAGGAAGATGTTTTTGTTAGTTAGCCAATCAAACAGAATCTATCGTATCACTCTGTATAAATCGCGCGGTTCTCTTGAATAAAGCCTTCTTTGCTCTTTCTACAATCCTGCCTGTTCCTGTGTTATTCTCGGTGTAAGAGTGACAGTTTCCCAAGCTGGGGATGCCAAGCCATCCACCTTGGGATTGCTCAGGGCCACAGGGCTCGATCCTGCAGTGGGACTCACGTAAATGACAACAGCAGCTACAGAGGGTCACCGAGCCTGCCCGCGCTGGGACAGCCAGGACCCTTCCCGCAGCCACATCTCTGTAGCTGCCCCAGGGGCCGGGTGTCCTGGCTGGGCCAGGCACTGCCCTCAGCTCCCAGCACGGGCACACAGCACCTTCGAAGCGGATGTTGAAGGCGGTGGCGGCGGCGGGCTCCTCGGCGAGGAAGTCGATCCTGATGGAGGAGCCGTCGCTGATGACGCCCTCGAAGGGAACGCTGTCGGCGCGCAGGGAGTCGTAGAGCACGGCCGAGCGGTTGGTGTCCCCGCTGTACACCACCATCCTGCGGGGACACGGGGCATGGCACATGGGACAGCGCCCCTGAGGCCCTCCCGGACACAAGGGGAGTGAGCTGGAGCAGCTGGGACAAGCTGGGACCTTCCAGGTTTTGATGTATTCTGGGGTTTTCTCTCCGAGATAGATATGGAGGGGCTGGAGCGTGTCCAGGGATGGGAATGGAGCTGGGAAGGGGCTGGAGCATCAGGAGCAGCTGAGGGAGCTGGGAAAGGGGCTCAGCCCGGGGAAAAGGAGGCTCAGGTGGGACCTTCTGGCTCTGCACAACTCTCTGACAGGAGGGGACAGCCTGGGGAGGGTCAGGCTCTGCTCCCAGGGAAGAAGGGATAGGATGAGAGGAAATGGCTTGTGTCAAGGAAGGTTTAGACTGGATATCAAGGATATCAGGGAAAATTTCTTTCCTAAAAGGGCTGACAAGCATTGAAACAGGCAGCCAGGGGCAGTGGTGGACTTCCCATCCCTGGGGGATTTAACAGTCATGTAAATGTGGAGACATAGTTTAGTGGTAGCCTTGATAGTGCTGGGGGACAGCTGAACTCAATGATCTCAGAGGGCTTTCCCAACCCAAATAATTCCATTTTTATATATTTAGTGCCCAGCAAAAGGCCCTGCTCCTCGCCCCATGCAGAAGAAGCCCCCTGGGATCTCTCTGCAGTCCCGGGGCTGTGAGGAAACAGCTCCTGGAGCCTCACCTGTCCTTCTCAGTCAGCAGGAGCTTCTCAAAGTGCAGGTGCAGCTTCTGTCCCGGGGGGGCCCCGATGGCCCACACGCAGTACATGCTGCCAGACTGGTTCCCACTGTAGCTGGGGGACAGCACGCGGCCGATGGTGGCATTGTGCACTGTCCCTCCACAGGGAGCTGCAACACAGAGCACAGCCCCGCTGCGATGGGCACGGTGGCATTTGTGCTGCCCTCTGCCCAGCTCTCCTACAAGTGCCCAGGGCATAAACTTCTTGCCTGGCTCTGCTTTGCTCTGTCTGTACGTATTTATACTCACAAATGCGTATTTATACTCACAGCAGACATAAAATCTTAATTTCCTTTCCCTTTGCTGCCTAACGAGGGGACAGATTCTGCTGACAGACTACTTGTGCACCTCAGGCCATGCTCTGTGCAGGGCTGGGCATTGCTCCACACCCCCTTAAGACAACATTCATCTCATGGGGCAAAGACAAGGACTCATATTTTCCTCTGTGGAGCCCAGTTTCGCACCACGGGGCTGGCACATGCAGTTACCTGAGCAGATGGGCTCAGGGCTGCTCCAGTGTGGCCGGGATGCATTGATGCAGGTCAGCATGCGGGGGCCCTGCAGCTCGTAGCCCAGGTGACAGTGGAAGTGAGCGATGCCACCCGAGTGCAGATCCATCACCGTCACCTCTCCGAAGTCAGGCCTCCGTGGGAAGTTGCAGCTCAGCATAAACACTGGAATAGGAACACGTTGGGAGCTGAGGGCTCAGCTGCTCCCAGCCACCCCGTGGGGACGTGCTGGATGTGCCCACGTGTCACACAGAGCAGCAGCAGAGCACCACCAACCCCCCACTGCCGCTGCTTCCCCACCTGTTACTGCTCCTGCCCAGACCCAGTTTCTATTTCAAAAATAATTTGCTGGAACTCATTTATTTTTTAAAGCTCTTCAAGGTAAAAAATAGACCGGCAGTGTGAGTGTGTGCAGGAGGAGCTGCTGCACGGGGACAGAAATGGGGCAAGGTGGGTGTGAGAGGCACAGCCAGCACTGGGGTTGGGGACACCAGGGCACACTGAACCCTCTACCCTGGGCACAACACCTCAACCCACCCCAGCCCGTGCTCTGGGGGTGAAACAGGAGCGTGGCTGCTCTGTGGGGGCACAGCCCACTGGTTTGACCCTGCAGCCAAGTGAGACCGACCCCAAACCCCCCTGCCCACGCTGGGGACACACCCACCCTGGTAGTGGAGCTGGAAGGTCCCCACCACGTCGTCCTGGAAGGTGCGGAAGTAGACGGAGATGGTGTTGGTGGGGCTGCGGATCACCTGCCCTTCCACCAGAAGGGTCTGGTTGGCCAAGACCACCAGGGCATCGCCGTCCACGCCACGGATGGACAGAACTTCCCCATCTGACAGGTTCACGCTCTTCACCTGCGGGGAGCAGAGACCTGTGAGCTGTGGGGACCCCAGTGGTCACATCCCAGCCCAGCAGAGCATCACAACAAAACCAGGGCACTCCTCAGGGTTTGGTGCTCACCACCCACCCCGTGCACCAGGAAACCTCCCCAGGATCCCTCACCCCACTGGGGAACGCTTGGGGAGCCACTCAGCAAGTGCATCTAATGAGTGGTTCCAAAAGGCTTTAATTATTATTTGGAAATAGCTGAGCAGTAACCTCACATTTACATTTCACGTCCATTTAGCTTAATAAATGGGCTCATATTTCAGCAGAAAGATGCTCATCAGACCGTTTGTTTCCCTGAGTGTGTGAGGCCCGGGGCTCTATATTTAGCAGCAGCCCAGCCATGATTGGGAGCGCTCCCGACGATGTTGTGACTGCAGGGATTTGTGGCTGTTGTCACCGCCGTGCCCACCTCCCCCTGGCACACAGGGCTGGCGTGTGCCCTACTCCAAGGGCACTGCATGAAGCCACCCCCAGCACTCAGCATCCTGAGCCTGCTCCTGAAGGAAATCCCTGGAAAAGTTTGTTCCTCACTGCAAAGCTGGATTAACATCCCCAGGCTGGTTCAGAGCATGCCTGGGCTCACCCCAGCCCATGTTGCAATCCAAGAGGAGCTGATTTTGCCTTATTTTTCCAGCTGGGTCCTGGCAGGGAAAAGCATTGTCTGGAGCATGAGCCACGTGCAACTCTGACCCCAAACCTGCCCTGGGTAATTTTTTTTTTTTCCAGATATTGCCCCAAAAACGTGCCCCCCCAGCATGGCCAGCACACACTGTGGCTGGTGGGATGGCTCAGATCTGGCTATAAATAAATGGGATGAATTAAGTGTTATTTGGGTGAATTACTCGGAGTCCAAGGACCCAAGCAGGCTCTATGTGATGCCAGAAATTTCCCCCAGCTCCCACTGGGACAGAGCTTTGCTTCTCCAGCTGGGTCTGGCTCCCTGCAAAGATTTTTCCAAGGTGTTTCTAACAGATTTTGCTCTGCAATAGCTTGAAGCCAAAGCTGTTCCCCAGCTGGGTCCCTCCAGTGCTGGTGGCACCACGCACATGACAGAGAGCCAAATCACTCTGGGAAATTGGGAAGGGGATTCAGGGGAGCAGCTGGAGCAGGCAGAGCTCTGCAGAAGGGAGGAAGCTGGGGAGCAGTGCTGGGTGTCACGGGACACACACACTCAGCTCCACCACCAGCCTCCCCTCGGTGAAGCCAGGGGAGCAGGGTGTCACCACAAGTGCCATTCCCTGTGCCAGCAGCAGGCTGGCATTCCCAGAGGAGCCTGGAGTAAGCAGCGAGTGCAGACACTGCCGTGGCCCCGTGCCAGGGACCGTCAGCCCTGCGAGAGGGACCATATGTGCGAGCTCCTGCGAGGGGCTGGGAGCACGGGCTCTGACTTCAATCACTGCCTGCACCCACAGCAGCTCCTCCAGAGCCTTGGGAAGGCAGCAGGGATCCTCGACTCAGGCTGCCAGCCTCGCTCACCCACTGGAAAAACCTCTTCAGGGAAATTCTATCTCCTGCCAAGAAGATTCAAGAATTTTAAAAATAAATATAAGTTCACGAAGCATTTGGAGAGCTGGCTGCTCCCAGCTCCCAGGGCTGGCACAGACAGGGACACAGCTCTTCCTGGAATGCTTTGAGGGGTGCAAGGAGGGGCAGTGAGCTGAGCAGGGACCCTGAGCTCTCACACAGCCCAGGGCAGCTCCCAGCCTTTCCCAGGATCATGCCTGACATCCAGGCTTTGTGTCCTCCCTGCAGTGAGTGAGGGTCTGGCTCCAAAGGAAGTGGAGTGTCCCCGTGTCCTCCTGCATGGCTCCCAGTGCCTGCAGGAGCAGTTTTGGGCAGGGCTGGAATGCCACAGGCATTTCTGCCACCACCAGGCTGTCCCACAGCCCCTGCAGGGAGAGGTGACTGCCCATGCAGGGGCTCCTGTCCCAGGGGCTTCTCTCTGCTCCTGCAGATGCCTTTAATGAGATCCCCAGGGTAAGAGGCAGCACCTCCCTTGCCACAGGAGCTGGGAATCCAACCCAACCCCTCTGATGGGACCCCACACCCCAGGTTATCCAGTGCCTTCCCTTTGGAATTCACCTCTGAGCCCTGAGCCCGTGGTGCTGCAGCACAGGGCACTGCCAGCTGCAGATGAGGCCATGCTCCACCAGCACCGACCTGCTGTTGCGATTTAATTTGTCTGAAACGCTCCAAAGCATCAGCAAAGCAAAATGCAAAGCTTGGGGGGGTGAAGAGGCCAATTTTATGCTCCATTAAAACCTCGGCTCGCAACGGACTGAGGTCAGGAGTGGTGTCACCTGATGGATTATGGACAGAGGCGAATTTACAGCAGAGCAGCCTGTCTTCAGCACCCTGTGGATCTGAGGAGACAGTTGCTGTGTCCAGTTACTTCTCCACTGCCACAGAGAAGTAGCTGAGCTGTTCAGAGCCTCCAGTGCTCAGCCTGTACCACTGCTGCTCCCAGGGCCACCTCCCCACCAGGGCTGGCAGCCACGGTGGCCTCGTGGCCAACCCCTGCCTGTGCCCACCTGGGGGACAGCAGGGACAGCCCAGCTGGAACTCCAGCTCCTTTTAATGCACGCTTTTAATTACACAAATTCAAAGTGAAGGGATCTAAATTAGATGCAAATGGTGACAGGGAGAAAACACAAGAAAGGATTGCAGGCAGCATGGAGACCCTGGGTTGGTTTCACCTGGAGAGGGTTTGGAATGGGCAGAGTCCCCTGCCCTGCTGGCAGCCTCACCAGGCTGAGGGATGCTCACTTTGGGGGGAGCTGATGGTGCAGTGGTGCACACCAGCTTGGGTGAGACCCCCTGCTCTGACGGGTGAGCATTTGCTGGGCACCTGCCCCAGCCAGGGCAGGAACATGGGCTGCCCTCCTGGGCTTCCTCACCCTCAGAGCCACCCAAACCCCTCCCAGCAAACAGGGGGTGCAGAGGGCAGGGAGCTGGTGCCCCCATCCCACCAAGTGCCTTTTTAACAACCTGCTGCCAGCGCCTCTTGGTTAAATTAATTGCGTGACATTTAAAGAGTTTGATCATCGCTGACATTCAGGATGTTCCAGCTCCCTCATTGAGTTCATTTATTACAAAGCCTCAGAAAAAAAATCTATTTTTTCCCCAGAAAGAGCTATTTTATCAAATGAAGGTGCCCAGGGCAGAGGTGCCCAAGGCTTGGCATGATTTGCTGCAGTGAGCAGTTGTGGTATTCACATTCTCTGGAAAAATCCCTTTGCCCAGGATTTTTCTCCTGGGAAGCTGAGAAGCCTCAGAGAAAAAGGAAAATATTATCTCATTTACTTCTGTGTTTTGTTGCTTTGGAATGTGGTTGGAGATTGTTTACCAACAGGTGGTTGTTTCATTGGGCTTCTGATGTGAATTGTTTTAACTTATTGGCCAACTGGGGCCAAGCTGTGTCGAGACTCTGGAAAGAGTCACGAGTTTTCATTATCTTTTTAGCATTGTGTAAGTATCCTTTCTGTATTCTTTAGTACAGTGTAGTTTAGCATTCTTTAATACAATATGGTACCATAAAATAATAAATTAGCCTTCTGAGAACACGGAGTCAGATTCATCATTCCTTCTTTCCTCTGGGGGCAACGCAAATACAACAACCAATTGTACTGTTACACATACAACCAACAATATACAATAAAACCCACGAGCAATAAACAATCTGGCTGTGGGCACAGCCCCGGGCAGGGCTCACCTGGAGCTCGACGCCGTAGCCGGTGTAGACGGTGACGTTGTAGGTGCACTGCAGGTACCCGTGCAGGGGCAGCGGGGGGTAATCCGTGGAGTCGATGTAGCCCTCGGGCTCGTGGAAGCTCATGCTGCAGAGCACTGAGGAGACACACAGCGGGGTCACACCCAGGGCACTTCGCTCCCGCCCCCCAAAACCCAGCAGTCCCTGCCCCACCAGTGATCCCACGGAATTACAGAATGACAGAGTGGTTTGGGTTGGAAGGGATACTAAAGCCCAGCCCTTGTCATGGGCAGGGACACCTTTCACTAGACCAGGTTGCTCCAAGCCCCATCCAACCCAGCCTTGTGCACTTCCAGGGATCCAGGGGCAGCCAGATCTTCTCTGAGCAACCTCTGCCAGGGTCTCACCACCCTTACAGGGAGGAATTTCTCCCCAATATCCCATCTAACCCTTCTCTCTGGCAGTGGGAAGCCATTCCCCCTTCTCATGACACTCCAGCCCCTTATCTAAATTCCCTCTCCTGCTCTCTTAAAGCCCCTTTAGGAACTGGAAGGAGCTCTAAGCTCTTCCTGAAGCATTCTCCTAGCTCTCCCAGCCAGGACAAGTGTTTCCTCCCTCCAACCACAAAATACATGAAGAGCAGATTTTAGGCAGCCCCCAAACCCGGGTGTTGGCCTGGTTTTGGGGTGGCATGCTGTTCTCCCCACCAGTGCCACAGCCCCGTGCCATGCTCGGCTCAGCTCACCCGGGGTGGGCTCCGTGGTGGTGACAGTGGTGGTGACGATGGTGGACGTGGTGGTTTCCTGGCTCTCCTCTGGCGCAGAGCCGTGCGCGTCCCTCTCCGCGCCCTTGGTTGGGATAACGGCAGCGCCAGCGGGAGCCGCGCTCGGAGCCTCCCCAGCACCCCCTGTGCTGTCAGGGAAGGGCTGGGGGAAGGCTGGGGGCAGGGTGGAAGGGGAGATCTGCAGAGTAGGGCGGCTGGTGGTGGCCTGCTCCACCCAGGGCAGCTCTGGGGGGCTCTGCTCCGTGTCCTCTGCTGGAACCCGCAGCCCTGGGGCGGCCGTGGGGAGCCTGGGGCTCCGTGGGCTGGCTGGGGAGGCAGTCCCAGGGGGCCCTGCCGGGGTGGGCTTCAGCCTTGGGTGTTTCCTTCCCGTGTTTACTTGCTTTAGAGTCGGTGGCTTTTTCTTGCCAGGGGAAGTTTGTTTGGCATCAGATCTGGGGGCAGAGGTGGCCATGGGCAGGGGCGGCGTGGTCACCTCTGGGGCTGGCAGGAGGTTGAGGGCAGTGCCCTTCCCCTGCTCCCCAGCTCCAGGGTCTGAACCCAGGGCATGCCCAAAATCCTCAGCTCCACCAGTCAAAGCCGTGCTGTGTCCTGGCTCTGCAGCTCCACCAGCCATCTTCTCCACAGGTTCATCTTCAGCCAGAGGGTCCGGGCTGGCCGGCACCAGCACTGCCCCCGATCCGCTGTCTGCAAGAAACAGGGAGAAGTGGGACTTGGGCAAAGCTGGGCATGAAATTAGACAATTTGTGTGCTGCTGGTGTGAAATCAGCCCCCTGGGAAGCTGCAGGAACACCCACCACTTCCCAAAGAAGGAACAAGCTGCCCCCACAGCACAACACACCCGCCGCGGCACAGCCCCCCAGGCACCGCCGTGTTGGGCAAACCCAACCCAACACTCGTTGGGAACAGGGATGGGCAGGAAAGAGGGAGTGACCAAAGCCACCCAGCACTGCTCTGGCCTTGGGGTAATTACATACAGATTTATCCCTGCTGTGAGGTGACCTGGCTGTGATCCATGGGCTGGAATTCGCCGTGAGCTCTGCGCGATGCCGCAAAGTGCCCGAGAGTCAACGCTTTCCATGGAAACAGCAGTTGCCAGGGAAAGCACTTAATGCACGGTACTTAAAGACCATAACTCCAGCCCCCTCATGTCCCCTGGGAGGGTTTGGAGCCCGTGGAATGCAGGGTCTCTGTCCCTCTGTGGGCACAGGGGGTCTGCAATCCCCCAGCCCCACTGCTGGCCTGGGGCTGCCAGGCACCAGCTGAGCCCTAGAGCAGCTCCAGCTGCTGTGACATGCCTGTGGTGGCAGCCAGGACACGTGGCCACCACAGCACCAGCTCTCCATGGGATGGGGGCTGGAGCAGCAGTCAGGGTTTCCTTCCCAAGCAGACCCCAGGTAAACCTCAGCTCACCTTGGTAGTACAGCTGCTTTAAACAGAAGCACAACTCTTGGGGTGCATTTAACTTGAGGTTTTCTGTCTCAAATTCTACTAATTAAGGAAGGACTGGAATGAAAAGAGGGGGGAAAATGGAGCTTTTGTATGTGAATCCTGAAACCCAGGGACACTGTGGGTGCCACTGCCCACAGGGCCCGAGGGAGGGCACAAGCAGCCTGTGCAGAGGGACTGAGCAGCGCTGAAAACTGACTTTGCTCCATCTCCTGGAAAACAGAAGCAGTTTCTGGCAAGAACCAGAGACAAGGAACGCAACAGGGAAAGGCAAAAGCTGGTGAATTAGCCTGAAGGATGGAGCTGCCAAAACTCTGGCAGTCCCTACACTGCTCCTCAGTCCAGGAGAGTCCTCGGACACTCTGCTGGTGCCTGGGCAGCTCCTTTGCCCCTGGGACAGAGCTGTGCCTGCCCCAAGCCACTTCACCCTGCTGCCACCACCCTGCTGCAGCCACCAGCAAACCTGTCCCTGGCCTCTCCTGCTGTTTGCCACAAGTTAAAGCATTAATTCCTCAATTAGCAAGTGGTTCAGCAAATCCATCACCCATCCCCTGAGCGCATTAGGAGACATTTCACACACATCATCTGCAACCATCAGCTTGTGTCAGCTCTGAATAATCTCCCCCCAGAAAGGATGAGTGCCTCAGTGTCCCCACAATTCTGGGAGCGACCAGAAGGTTCCACACCAGGAGCTTCCACACCCTCTGCTTGTTTCTTGGTGTGTCTGCTTCCCTCTCCATCTCAACCTCCATGGGCATCCTGCCGTGGGCTGATGGGGGGAATGTCCCCAAGGCTGTGCCAGTGGCAGCTCTCCTTCCCTGAGAAGTTTTGCAGGGCTCTTCTCTTCCTCCCCCACCCCAAGCCCGGGAGGAACAGCCGGTGGCTGCTCTCCCGTGGCCCAGGTGACAGTTTTAGGGCTCTGCAGCAAAAGGTTTTGTCTGTGATGGGAGAGGATGAGGCTCTCAGACAGAGGGGAGGAAGAACAGCCCTGGCAGGGAAGGGGGCTCACTGGCTGGTGGGACATGGTGGGACATTCTGGGACATTCTGGGGCATTCTGGGGCATTCTGGGGCACTGGCTGACAGCAGGACAATCAAAGTTAGGGCTCTGCAGCAAAAGGTTTTGTCCGTGATATCCTGAGTCCTTAAAGCTGACACATTCCCAAAAACACCAACCCTGCAACCCCGGGCTATTTGTCATGTGAACCCTAATTCTTAATGGATTGTGCCTTTAAACCATATTTTATGCTTTTGGAAAGCTGACTAATTCCTTATTAGATCCTTTGCCAGGATGCATTTACTCGATTCTGTCTTTAACAAAGCATGAAATAAAACACTCTGTAAAGCGACTCCTTAATGAGACACTAAACATGCTGGGGTTTGTAAAGGGCAAACACATCCCAGGGAAGGGAGAGGGCAGGACACAGCCGGGCTGGAGCAGGGGAGGGGCAGGCACAGAGCATCCGGGATCGATATGGGCTTATTCCACATTATCAGGAAGAGAACTGATTGTGGATCTCAGCTCCTGATTGATCGCCGCCCCCAAAGCCGAGCTGTGCTCCAGCACCTCCCTGGGCTCCCCGTGGACCTGGGTGCTGCCCCAGAACCCCCAGAGCCCCCTGCCCACTCATTCCTGCCTGGAGCCCGTTTGGGAAGCAGAACTGAGCATCCCCATCCGTAAGGAAGGATTGCAGAGGGTTTCCATGTTTGCAGGGCCAGGGTGGGATTTGGTAAAATCCCTTCCACACTGATGTGAATTCCAGATGCCATCCCACCACCTCCGAGGCCCATGGGGTGATCATGGCCACACAGAACCATGCCTAGCTGCTGAAACCCATCCTGCTCTGCACGAGTGATCAATCCAGAGCTGCTGGAAGAGAAATGGTCACCTTGAATGGTCTGACCTTGATCTAATCTGGAGGAAATAAACACTATTGAGATGCACAAGGGGTTTATCTTGTACCTCCATCAGGAGCTCTCCTCGGGCAGTTTGGCACTGGGCAGCCTTCTCCAAACCCATGGAAAGCTCCCTGGTGGCCCTGCAGCCAGGGAGGACCCCGAGGGTGGCACGGGGGGCTCTGTGCTCTGCCTGGCAGCGTGGTGGGCACAGCAGCTGCTCCTGCAGGATGGGCCAGGCAGGGCCGGGACAGTTTGGGGCACAAAGTGACCTTAAGACAGAAGGACAGCTGGTGTCCAGGTCTATTCTGGGCCATGCCTGGGTGTGTGCAAACACTGCAGGAAGCTGGGCTCCGGAGAGGGAAGATGTCTCCATCCAGCCTCAGCCCCCACAGTTTATACTTAGCCAAGGCGGAAGCACGGGTGCCGAGCCTGGGCTGTGTGTGGGAGCTGCCAGAGGGGCACAGCCCCATCCCAGGGCTGGGCTGGTGGCACCAGGCTCTGGAGAGGCAGCAGGACAGGGCAGCAGCTCCTGGAGCATCTCCTGTCACGCAGACACGGCACTGGGTGTTGGCAGGGCACCAAGCACCCACCCACCTGCAGCAACAGCACAGAGGCACCAAAATCCTCCTCCCCAGCCCCAAAGCTTCATCCCCAAGTGAGAGGGTCCCCAGGACCCACAGCCAGGCTGGTGTCCCGTGGGCAGCTGTGCCCAACACACGGCTGCTGCTCCAGAGGTGCCGTGGCACCAGGAGAACCTGATTGCCAAGATACCTCAGCCAGAGGGGTTTAGAGGAATTAGAGAGCTGCAAATGCCTGATAAAAGGCTGCTGGAATAATCACAAAGGCCTCGTTTCGCTGCTGTGCTCCTGAAAGAGCCAAAGCAGGAGTAGCCCTATCACAGCTCCCGTTACTAATGCCGATGGTATCGCCTGAGCACTGCTCCAGGGAGGGCAGCGGGATTGCTCCAGCTCAGGAATCACTGTCCAGAAGGGTTTAGGATCTGATTGCAGCAGAAATGAATAAAGCTGATCCAGGCACTATTAGTGGTGATGTTCAGCTCTGCATGTGTCAGGCTCGGGCACATTCAGGGATGCTGGGCTGGGATAATCCTGCCCAGAGATGCTGCTGGCATCATACCCAAGCCCTTGTGGAGAGCTGGGGTTTATCCTGTACTGCCCAGCACCCTCTGCACACAGGCTGGGCCCCTGGAGTTCCCCATTCCACACGGCTGATGCAGCAGGGTTGGCAGGAGCTGCCAACCACTTCTGTGGAGGAGCAGGATCGCTCCTGCTGGGGACGAGTTCATCCAGATCTTGGATAAATTAGGGAGATTGAGACAGGTCCTGGTGTAATCCTTCATCCCCAGGGGGCTGGGGGTGGAAAGGGGCACCCTGGACACCTTCTGCTCTCCTACTCTTTCCCATGCCGACCTCCAGCACGTGCAACACATGTTTCACCCTCAGGGAGGAAAACAGAGGGTTTGGGTGGGAAGAGAAAAAGCAGGTTGTGTCCATCAACACACTTGGCTGTGATTGGTTTGGTTTCAGATTTTAAAAGCTTTTGGCCTTGAATCTCGAAGAGCAGAAAACCCTTAATTGAAGCAATCTTTCATTTCCCGAACGTCCCCGCAGGCGGATGGATGCAGCCTCTGCCTCCGAGCAGCAGATGCGAATCCCAGGTTTCCCCGCAGTCACAGTTTCAGCAGATCAAGTTTTTCCAACAGGAAAGGAAAAAAAAACCAAACGTTTTCCTCAAGAGCATCCTGTCAGCTCCCCCTCTAAGCAAATAAAACCGTGGCAATCCGGTGTGGGTGAGTCATTCCCGTGGGAGCTCCGGGAAGCGCAGCCGGAGCCGGCGCTGCCCGCAGCTTCGGAGCCGCTCCCGGCAAAGGTGAGACGGGGACGGGAGTGTTAAAAATAGGTTAGAAAACTGTTGTAAAATAGTTGATGGATCGTTGAGCATGTACTGTTGGTTGTGTGGAAAATGTGTATTTTATGACTGGCTTTTCACAAATATTAAAATGAATATTGTATGCGTTGTGTTAGAAAGTTATGCTGTATTAATTTTCTTAAGTAGTGTGTTAAATACAGTTTTAGGTTATAACATAATGTTGAAATAGAAACTATGCTATGTGGGATACTTTTTTTTTAAAAGAAAGGACTTGCACTGAGCAGCCACAGGACACCTAAATCTTCCAGAGAAAGAGAATTTATCAGAATTTATCAGAATTTATCTCATTATCAGGAGAAATTAACTTCTTCCTGCCTCGTTCAACCCTGAAGATGCCTTTAGGATTAAGAGGAAGAAGTTGACACTGACCAGACAGAATCCTTTGTTTGAATGGAATTTATACATCATGTATGAAGTGTATGACTATGCAACAGGCTATTGCTTTTTAGGGTTAATCCTCTGTTAACATGGGTCCTTTTCGGGGT